ATGCGTTTTACCCAAATCGTTTATATGTTTTGTTTCTTTGATTATTATTTTTTATTGTGTGTGGGGGGTTCGTCACAAATGATATCCTCATTGTGAAATCGGACGGCTATGACCCACGATATGAAGCAACGCTCTTGCTGAATCAGCTGGCTCAGCGGCGCCTCGTGTCGTTATAGTTAACATCTCGACACGATGGCAGCGAGATGTTCACTACCTCGCCTGGCATGCAGGAGGTCGTGGGTTTCTATCCCGACCCTGACGCCTGCTGCTGTATATTTGGAGTTTGCACGTTCTCCCCGTGATCGGGTGGATGTTTCTCCAGGTCCTCCGGTTTTTCCCTCTATATTTAAAATCAACGTGTGTTTAAAGTATTTGGCTGCTATACATTTACACGTGATAAGCCATTTCGTTGAGCTATGATTTGTGGCCAAGTCGCTTCTGAAAAATAGATCAGTGGGGCCTTCCCTGGTAAAATAAAAAGTTTATTTGACTGTTTAGTTTCAAATAGTTTTGATATCAGGGATTGCCAACGAAGACAAAGCCAGAGAACCAGCTGTAAAGTCGCTCCAATATCCCCCTAGAAGATGTTTCTTGCCGTTCTGCAGAAGAACGTGTGTCAGTGCGTTCTGGAAAAGTCGAGTATCAACTTCAAGTGATTTTCTCTTACCAGAACTCCAGACAGAAGGATGAACATAACAGCAGAGACAACCGAATAAAAATCAGAGCAAACAACAAAAGTGACCGCAGGAGACATAAAACAGTGAACGAACATAAATAAATAAATACAAATATACTTCCTGTAACTAAATTTGGCTCGGATAAATTACTTTTAGAAACCCGTTACTGTACGGTAAAACAGGGTGGCCGTAAAAAAAAATCTGCACCCTTTGGGTTATTTAATTCGTGCTTGTTATTCAAGTTAATATTTTATCCATTGTCATTATTAATATCTGGGTTTTTTTCTCCCTGTGGCATCACCATATATCCGTCGTTTAAAAAATTCGACCAAGAACCCGGAATGAATTGAGACAAAGCAGAAGTGATGAATGTTCAAACATTATTCCTGTAACGTGAAAAAAAACTAAATTAATTCCAAAAATAATTAATGTACACACACGTTAATGTTAAAGGAAGTCGGTTTGAATATTCTTACAATAATTTAAATAACCCTATGTCATTTGGTAAGCTTAATATAATAACCCCATGTGTCCTGACTTTTGGGCCATCCTGCATATGTTTGTAGTGACTGACTCCGAGACACTAAGAGAAGGAGACACTCTGTTTATCAAACAGCCTTAACAGTTCACACTGGATAACTACGGTTCCCAGTCAGGACAGCTGGTAGACTGCCTGGCTGGGGACGCCGAGATGGTGAAGACAGAGACGGCGGCGAAGAATCCAGCAGCACGACGGTGATCCCACTCCAAACGACAGCCCCGAGGTCCCCTCCCAGGGCCCCTCTTTTACTGCCAGCGTGGCCTGGCTTCGCCCCCGGCCACGCCCCTCTTCTGGAACCTACTAGCGGGTTCTCTATGTGCCCCTTTCGTAACCTTTCCCCTACATCCCTCTGTGGCCTATCACGTGGCCTGCTGTCAGTCAGGGCTGCTGTAGCTGCAGATCCCCTTCCCTGTCACGTAGATATTTACGTAGATATCTACGTAGATATCTACGTAGATATCTACGTGACTTTACCGAAAGAACCATAGAATATGAATTCCTGCAGTCACGAAAGTTGTAAGTCAAAGCACAACACACTTTATAACACTGACAGTTACGTACAGCTAAATACTGAGTTCCGAGGGTACGAACAAATCGACTTGCGAACGGGCTCCCAGAAACGCGACCCGTTCGTAAGTCGATGACTGTCCGTATGTGTGTATGTATATATACACACACTGCGTGTAGAACAATAATGAATGTGAAAAAGAAAAATGTAACCAAGCACGCTCGTGAAAAGCCTCATGGAAAACAGGTGACAGAAAGGAGGGGGCAATCGCAGCCGCCGTCTTCGATCGCAGTACACAAGTGTGTGTGTGTGAGCTGACGAGATGTAATTAGCCCCGGTCATTCCTCAGCATTTGGAAAAGAGACTTGGGAGAGATTAAAAAATAAATTACTGCTGCCCAAACGCAATGTTTGTGGCTGACTGACTGCTGTACTCATAGCAAGCACAGTGCACATGCGCGTAAGTGCCCATGTGTGTGTGTCTGGGTGCGTATGTGTGGGTGTATGTGTACGTGTGTGGGTGCATGTGTGCGTCTGTATGAGTGCGTGTATGTGTGTATGTGTGGGTGTACGTGTGGGTGTGTGTGTGCGTGTGTGGGTGTATGTGTGCGTCTGTATGTGTGCGTGTATGTGTGTATGTGTGGGTGTATGTGTGGGTGTATGTGTGCGTGTGTGGGTGTATGTGTGCGTGTGTGGGTGTATGTGTGCGTGTGTATGTGTCCGTGTACGTGTTGGTGTATGTGTGCGTGTGTATGTGTGCGCGTGTATGTGTGCGTGTATGTGTATGTATATGTGTGGGTGTACGTGTGGGTGTATGTGTGCGTGTGCGTGTACGTGTGGGTGTATGTGTGCGTGTGTATGTGTGCGTGTATGTGTGTGTGAGGAGCTCACAAATCCTTGAAAGATCTGGGCAAAGTCCCATCGGTGAGCTCCTCCGGCAGGCAAGACTGCGTTGGCTGGGTCATGTAGCCCGCATGCCCAGCCACCGCATGCCTAAACAACTTTTGTTCGGCCGGATCGAGGGGGCTAAACGGGCGCGGCACGGGCTAGAGGAGAGATGGAGTGATGTGGTACAGGATCACGTGGAGCTGAGTGGACTTGCCGATGACTGGTACCAGCGGTGTCAAGATCGGCCTCAGTGGAGGAGGCTCGTGAAGGACGCTACTGGGCAGTTGGAGGCAGTCGCCCTCCAACAACAACGGAGGGCGGAGGAGCGACGCTCACAACAACGAGCGGAGCGCCGGGTGGCTAAAGCACAGCAAGTTGGCACAGGAGGGGACACAGGTGGTGCATCAGCCAGTCATCTCGGTCATCTCAGTCAGTCGACCCGTGGCACCTGGGTCTGCCCCGTGACCTCCTGTCAGCGGGCGTTCGACACTTCACGTGGCCTCAAGGTGCACATGGCCTGGCACAAGCGTCGTGGTGACGTCACCGCCACTTAGTGGCGAAAGGCGGTTGTTGTTGTATGTGTGGGTGTATGTATGCGTGTGTATGTGTGCGTGCACGTGTAGGTGTACGTGTGAGTGTATGTGTGCGTGTATGTGTGGGTGTTTGTGTGGGTGTGCGTGTGTATGTGAGGTGTATGTGTGCGTGTGTATTTGTATGGTTCATGGGGATTGGTGGTGCAGTAGTTAACGCACTCGGCAATGGTTCAATTCCAGGCGAGACGAAACTAAAATTAACTTACGTATCACAACCTCCATTGGGCCTCCCCTCGGTCAAATCATCATTGCATAAGTACGTCAGGAAGTGTGTGAACATTATTACCAAGCGGACAATGGGATCTGTCGTGATGCTGTCAATCTGCCCATCATAGGTGCCCGCCAACCGCACGCGTCTCTATGGCATATTTGTTCCCGTGTGTCCGATTCCCGTTTGCTTTTCCGTTCGGTTCTTCGAGTATGGGGGGGGGGGCGTGACAATGATGATGATGATGCACCGGCCAAATCTGTAGCCCTGGCGTGCTCATCCAAAGGGCACGAAACCAAGAGAGGGCCCCCCGTGTCTCGATGCAGACCGTCACACAACGCCAGGGTCGCGCGAGTCGCCCCAACTCGCAGTTCAGAGGCGATTGAGACCCCTGCGGAGAGAGGCGTTCGGCAGAGTCCGTGTGGTGGTGGTGGCGGTGATGATGGTTACGCTGCGCGTCGCTGAATGTAGTCCAGCACTGTGCAGGCAGCAGAGAGGGTTGGTGGATCACCACGCAGATGGGATTGTGAAACTTCCTTCCACCCGTGGGCGTCGTGGAGGATGTCATACCTTGGCTCGCTCGGAGAAGGAGTTACAACAAAAATGTGAACTTCACCTGTTCCGTATGTGTGGGATAGAGTGTTGCCCCCTCGCACGCATGGGTTTTCTCTGGGTGCTTCAGTTTCCTCCCACTTGCATAAACACTCAGCGATTGACTGAACACATCTTCATGTATGTATGTTGAACTTATTTTGCACCGTACGTAGCCAACCGTGCTAATCGGAGGTGCAGAGGAATGGCAATAAACTCAACACAAAATGCAGTTCTAAAGAAATTAGTGCTTCATATATATTTAAAAGTGCATAGCTCCAGTGGCTTCCTAATATCGGAGGGAAGAGCGTTCCAGACGGCCGCAGAAGCGCATCTGAAAGTGCCACGCGACGCAGGTAGGTGGGGACGGGTGCCTCAGATGGCTCGTGTCTGGATACTGTTGCAACCGAAACGTCGTATTCTATTGTTATTTGATTTTATTTTCAACGTGACTTTACCGAAAGAACCAAAGAGACTTGACTTGTTGTTATGGTCTGTTCTGGATGACGACAGTCGCGCACTCCTGGAGAGTTTTTCAATTTCCATTTGTGCATCAGGTATCCGCATCTGCTCTGGTTTGTACGGATGCGATTTAGGGTGGACCATGATCTTCGTGGAAGGTCAAACACTTGGGGATTTTCTGCGTTGGGTCTATATCGCAAAAAGGTGTTTGTGAGTTATTTTGAACTCCATTGAGCTCTTCAAGCTTCACCGGGTTTGAATTCGCATTGCCTAAGGTTACACGGATGGTTCCAAAAGGGGCTTGTGTGACTTCAAGCGATGACGAGGGACGCTATTGAGGTCCTGATGAATGGGAAGGCGACCGTTTTCCTCGATTCGCAGGATTTACCCCACAGGGTCGCAGCGTCGCAGCGGAAGGACGAGTAGGGGAGAGACGGTGTGACTCGCGAACAGCACTTGACCCCAACAGTCTGTTGAGGCTATAATGGGGGATAATTTGTCTTTGTCTGCGTTTGTGTTTCTCAACCCGGCAGGATGTAAACACAGAACCGACGTCGGAACGTGGATCAAGAACGGGGAGCAGTCGCACAAACCGCACACCCATCGCGTCGTTCCGAGTCCAACGGCACCGAGAAGATTAATCGCAACGTGATGCGTCAAAGCAACTGAAACTCGTGACAGGCACAGCATAGCTGGGAAGAAGAAGAAGGTGGGGGGGGGGGGGGGGAGAGGAGAGGCGTTTAGATTTTACAAAGCCTAACAGCCAGGGCGCAAACGCGAGCATTTCCAGACGAGCGAGCGAGGGAAACAAAATAATAGTCTGAGAAGGAGAGGCCGAGACCCCAGTGGCACCTGCTGCTATTGACGAGGAGGGAGGGCACCACAAGCCCGGCGCTGCTGATATCACCAACCAATGCTGCAACTGAGACGACTAAAGCCCCCGCTGTCCAAGAGCCACGAGACCCACAGCTGGCATGCGTTCATAGCAATCATCAACGTTTGAGTGGGGGGGGGGGGGGGGGTAAAGTGGCAATGTCTGACCAGCAACTAAAACATTGGCGCTCAGAGTTTTTGACCGAGGTCGAGTCATGGATCCAGGAGCCGTTCATCTCGGCGTGACGGGGACAGGCTGCCACCATGCGAGACTCGACGTGCAGCCGCGACGAGGAGCTATTGGAGATCTGTGAAGAAGAGCTTCATCGCTCATCGGATTTGTCCAGGATAAATGATGAGTCTGATGATTCTGAGTCCCACCGAGGATGTTTGTTTAGCGATTCTCTTCGAGAACTGTTGAGAAGACGCTGCCAGAGTCTGTAGCGCGAGAAACTGCGGCTGAAGAACAGAAACTGAGAGCGTTTCTGACGGAGCCAGATATTTTGCTGCTGCTGCTTCTACTGCTGCTGCTGCTGCCCTGAACCCCCACGCCCTGGGAAGGTGGTGGACCTTTGGCGACTGGCGTCACCGGCATAAAGGCGAAGTCCTGCCAGCAGCATCACCCATTAATTCAGACGCCCGATGCACAAGAGATTATGCAATAAAGTCGCCGGGTCGTATGAACTTTTTGTAGGTGTACGATTTATTTAAACATATATGTGTGTGTGTGTGTGTTAAAGCGACGTTTTCTGGACCGTTCTTCAGTCTGGAAGAAGATCACGTGCACTGCCGCGGGTGAATGGCACCGTGGCTTTCCGAGGCGTTCGTTCCATCCCTGTGCCTCTGTAGCCATTGAGCCTGCAGGCTCACTGACCCGAGCCAGAACGCTCAACCACGCAACCTCCCGTGTGGTACCCGCGTGGAAGCCACTTAAAACCACCCACAGGCCTCTATTAGACCTGCCTATCCCTATTAGACCGGCCCATCTCCATGAGATTAGCCCACATCTATTAAACTTACCTACCCCTAATAAAAGACCTACACATCTCTATTAGACCAGGTATCCCAGTTGTCACCATGGGCTGTCTAAGCTGCAAGCCGTCCACCGGGGCGGTCACGTCCAACGGGGCCGTGACCTCCTCGTCCACCGTCGTGACCCCGCCGTGCACATCCGACTACGGCGCGGCCCTGAAGCCGGGCAGCTTGGACGCCGCGCCGCTGCTGGGAGGGACACGGAGGCCTTGCTCGGTGACGGGCATCGCCGCCACGCGGGCCGACCCGGGGGGGCAGCCGGGGCCGCCGCCACCGCAACCTGCGCGGGCCGGCGTCGTGGCCAACGGGGGGCCTCGCTCCGTGGGGGGCTTGGGGCGCTGGGAGGCGCTCCACGGGGAGCTTAAGGTGAGCGCGGCGTTCGCTTTGTTGATGAACTCGACGACGGAAATATCTGTCGAGCTGAGCGTGTCTTTTACACGCGGTGGCGAGATGTCAACTACTCTGACGCCTGCTATTGCAGGAGGTTGTAGGTTCGGTTCCGACCTTTGACGCCTGTTGTATATTTGGAGTTTGTGGCCTCTCTCTCTCCGTGGTCGCGTGGATTTTTCTCCGGGTCTTCCGGTGTTTCCCTCCACATTTAGAAACATGCGCTTGCGGTATCACGCATTTAGAAGTATTTGGCTGCTATAAATGTCCGCATGATGATACGCCACTTCGTTGAGCAATAATTTGTGACCAGGTCGCTTCTAAAAAAAGAGCTACATAGCTCAGTGGGGCCTTCCCTGGTAAAATAAAAAAAGTTTATTTTTAGTTAAATGAGACCCAAAGAATATGAATCACCGATAATTTTGAGTTGACGGATTTACGCATGAATACGTAAATCATATTCCGTGCGTAATTCCATTCGAGTCTGAGTCTTGACCCGCCTCCTCCCTACCTCCTCGTCACGACCGTTTGCAGGTCCAGAACCGGGAGGACGTCTCGGCGGACGACTTCGTGCTGGAGGAGGTGCACGCCTCCATCGAGGAGTGCCCCACGCGGCTCGAGGAGGACTCGGCGCTGGTGCTGCGCTACGTGACGCCGCACTTCACGGCGCGTGCGCGCGTGCGCGTGCCGCCCGTCCCGCGCGCCGCCGAGCAGTGGCACGTGGGCTGGATCCAAGCGTGCACTCGGATGACCTTCCACAACATCTACGGAGACCTGGGCCTGTGAGTGGCGCGGTTGAGGCGGGTAGGGAGAGGGGGGGGGGGGACCCCCACCCGCTAGCCTCTCTCCCTCAGTCTTCCTTCCCTGTTCGTGACCCGGCTCCCGCACCACCCCACTCCAACTTGTGGGGAAGGCCTCGGTGCAATTGCACCGCCTGCACACATTAAAAAGATCGATGCCACCACGTGGTGGATGGGCGGAGAGGCGGTTAACCATGACACTGGGGGATGTCAACGCAGGGTGGCGCCGTGAAGATGAAAATTGACAGCACCTCCGTCAGTTCACTGCCGGATGAAGGCTTCCCTGTTCCGTGTCGGTCACGGGGGCTCGTTGACCATACTTCACCACGCTGGTCAGTGTGGGTTGGTGAAAGTGTTGGGGACCATGGACCGGTTCAAATATCGCTCCTCCCCGACTCTCTCTGTGGATTGAGCAGCGCGCTAACCGCTGCGCCACCGCTCCACCCCGTTAAAGTGAAAATAATTTCAGAGTTGAACATAGCTCATGCGAAGCATCGCTGTGCCTCATGTGTACAGTGCATTCTTTACTGTTAATTTTCAGATCTTTGGCAATTCACTGATGGATCAAGGCCTCCCTGCACCGTGTCGGCCATGGGGCTCTGTTTGACCATACTTCACCACGCTGGTGAGACAGCGACGGTGTGGGGAGGCTTTCATTCAGGAGTGGATGGACAGTGCATGATGATGATAATAATAATACAAATGTATTCTGTATATTTGGAGTTTGTACGTTCTCCCCGTGGCCACGTGGATTTTTCTCCAGGTCCTCTGGTTTTCCCTCCACATTTAGAATCAACGTGTTATTTAGAATATTTGGTGGCTATAAATGTCCACTTGATAAGCTACTTTGTCGAGCTATCATTTGTGACCAGACCGCTTCTGATAATTATCCTTCTTTTCCATGGAAACCAATTGTCCGACTGATGGGTTCATTGCGCTCAGATATCCCGCTCCATCACCGCTGCGCGTGCAAGCGAGCACAGGGCCAGGCTGGGAGATGCCGTGGCACGCTGAAGAAAATGCGCTGAGCGGCAACAAAGCTTCCCAATTTGCGTCCAATGTTTGTTCGATGGCTCCTGTTGGGAGGCGTTGCCGTCGGGTCGTGCCGCTTTGACGTCTGCGACGCCGTCGCCTCTTCATCCTCCTCCTTCTCCCTCCGCCGCGTGGACAGGTCGAGCTGGGAGCTGCCTCCGCTGCGCGACGGGCGAGTGCGCACGGTGAGCGACGCGGACGGCTCGCTCTACCCGTGGTACGGCAGCTCGGGCGAGGTCCTCACCGTCACAGGACCCACGCTCACCAACACCACCTTCTCGCTGGCCATGAGCGACAACTTCTACCCGAGCGTCACCTGGGCCGTGCCCGTCTCGCTCGCCGCCACCGACGCCACCACGGGGTCGGCGCACAGAGAAGGTGGCGCGCGCATTCACTCATTCATTCACTCATTCATTCACTCGGATTATAAGAATAGGTTTCCCCCCTTTTTTCTGGCAACAAAACAGGTGTTAAGATGTAATAACACCGAACTGAAACCTTTTTTCAAGGAATAATGTCTGCATTAACCACAGATACTTGTGGTGAAAATACAAACACAAACATACTATGTATATTTTGTATATACTGACAGTACATTGTATATGAAGCGTGCACGCTGAGTCCTCGCTTAATGCGTGGTGTTCACACTACAAGGCGTTTTCACTGGGACGCGGTTCGTACATTCGGGAATACTTGTAAAACTACGTGCAACGCGCGTCCCATTGTAACGCGGAACGCACACCCCTCTAATTGAGCTTCCTGAGCGGTCGCCTAAGAACTACTTTCATGAGCTGCGCGGCTGAACGGTACTGTGATACAAGGCCGCAATAATAATATATATTGTGGGGGGACACATCCCCCCCCAATATTCAAATATGCTCAAAATGTCCCTCCCTATATATTGCTATAAAATAGATTTCTGTTTATATGATTGTGGTTATGGTTGTACTTTATCAATCCCTAATCTCTGCCATTACATACAATGAAACAAGAAAAGGTAAAAAAATAAATAAACAGAGCAATGTACTACAGTACACTATTAGACATTATTGTAAAAAAAAATCCGTCCTATGTGTTAGTGAATTTTTATATATTTTAGGCAGGAAATTCGTTTTCAAATTTTTTCTGGGGGGGGGGGGGATCCCCAGACCCCCTGGAAGATTTGGTCCCCCCCAATGTTGACTCCATGGCTACGTCCTTGCTGTGATACAATGCGGAATGATGCAATGACGTGGCGGCATACCCTCAGTTATTTATCCCACCATCTCACTGCGCGGTGTGTGTAGCAGTAGTAGTTGTACATCGCATCTCGCCAAACTTGATCGTTACATCATTTATGGGGCGATTGTTTTTGCTGAACGCATTTTTCGCTCAATGCGGCACTTCTCAGGAACACATCTACCGCGTTAAACGAGGACTCGCTGTTCAGTAGAATTTGCAAGATGTAAACTCTGGAAATCCCTCCTCCCATTGTTTATCTTCCCGTGTTCCTAACATCATCATCATCAATCGTCGAATTCCACATGTGCATTTCTCCTTGCGACTTTGCACACTGTACGTTTGCGATCCGTTCGCGCCGAGACCCTGAATAAACAAAGTCGGATATCCGACTTACCGCATGTAACCTTGCTTCTGTTCAACGCGCGCGACCATTGGTGCTCTAAGCTACTGGCTTTGGAACTCTCTCTCTCTCTCTCCCGTCATCTTCTCTTTTCTAATGTCCCCAGATCCTCGATAAAATCAACGCGCGCGTTCAATCTAATCCGCTGTAATGTTATTGTTATCTTTAGCGTTAGTTGCTTTGCAATTTAGAGGCCCGTATGCTCGGCAGCAGCGATTTGCCAAAAAAGACTGTCGCCTTAAAAATCACCTATCTTACATTTTGCTTATTTTAAGGCCACACACAGTGTTAGTGACGAATGCGTTGCGTAATTTTTGTGTTAATCGTGCTTTGTGCACCGCTGCCAATGCAGCAGCAGCGTCACCAAATCATTGATTTTTTAAGAATGCTAAATATAACTTTACGTGGTGGGGGCTTTGCAGCAAGATCCATTGTTGGACTGCACTTACATGCTGCCACAATTTACGCGGCCTGGCTGCGCAAAGCTGCGGGGAGCAGCGTGGCGGAGCGTCGTCAAACAACCCCCGCGACTCGCACGCCCTGGGCAGGCGAGGCCCCCCCACGCAGCGGTGGATCGGCAACACGAATGATCCGCGCGTGAATCTGAACGGCGTCTGTGTGCTGCGTCTGCCCGTTCAATGCCAGGATCGTCCAGGGAGCAGCAGCAAGGGCCGCCGAGAGAGAGGCCCGTCACAGCACCGCCTCGGTGCGGCTCACGGCCTCCCACCACCACAACCACCGCCACAACCACCGACACCACCACCGACACCACCACCGACAGTGCCGACCCGGGAGGGGTCACGAGCAGCCAAAAAACGCCACGGACGCCGCCCAGCCGCGACCGTAGCTCGGCGCGGCCCGACGGTGCGACGCGCGAAGCCCCGCTCGACCGCAGCGGAGCCGATGACAAGACCACGACGACGACGGCGGCGGCATCGTCATCGTCGTCGTCGTTCACGGAGTCCTCCACCCCCTGTCTGGTCTCGCCGGGCGAGCCGGCGCTCACCGTCGTGGTGCGCGACCAGAGCTTCGTGTCGTGGCTGGCGGCGCGCTGCGGCGGCGATTCGGCGCGCCCCGTGGTGCTCGCCACCGTGTCGTGGCGCATGCGGCTCCGCGTGGCCGTGGAGCCGGGGGCGCCGCTGGGCCAGCGCGCGCGCCTCCTGGGGCCGCCGCTGCAGGAGCCGCCCCGTGTGTGCCGCTACGGCGCGAAGGGCCGCGGGGAGGGCGGCGACAGTGGCGATGCCAGCGGCGGGCCGAGCGTGGGGAACGGGCTGAACGGACTGAACGGGCTGGAGGAGGCCCTTCGGGGTCTCGCGGGAGTCGGCGAAGGTCGCGAGCGGTGGACGCGCGACGCCGCCGGCGCGCCGTGCCGCTGCGGTCTGGCCCCGTGGCTCCACGCGGTGCCCGACGAGGTGCTGGGCCCGCCCAACGCCAACGGGGCGCAGGTGCTCATGTGGAGGCCGAGCGTGGGCGAGCCGCTGCTCGTCATCCCGGCCAAACTCCAAATGTGAACGCGGCGGTGACCGCGCGTTGCCTGCGTGCTGTCATCCGGCAGCGGAGTCGCGGACAGCTGCTGCCCGTCACAGGAGACTAGGAACGCCAAGATAATGGATTGCGTGAAATCAGCCGGGGAGGAAAATGTCGTCGTCTCTCGTGTGTCTGTCTTTTATTCATTGAAGAAGACGAGGATTATTTGGATTCCAAGCTGCGTTTGCAAGTTGATTGAAGGGCGGCCCCGAATGCGAGTTTGTCGTCGCATACGATGGGAACCCCGGACGATCCGTCGCTGGTTTCAAAATTACGAAGAGTCTCGACACCTGGACTTGAATCACGAGCCCGACACTAATTCAATGTGAGCTGCACAATTTTTGTTTTGCTGTTTGCAGCACGGCGGTCAAGCGAGAGTTGCGTACGCGAGGGTTGGGGCATTCGTGCGTCTCCGATGAGAATGTGGCGTTCGACTCCTCGTGTTCCGAAAGCCACTCAGATGAGTGACCAACGCTTCTCGCTCGAGGGCGAACAATTCGGGTGCCGGTGTTTTGGCACCACGCGCACACGTGCAGGACGTTTACATGCGTTTCGCTCAGGCAAGATGACTCTTCTTGCAAACAACGAAGTACTCCACTCAGCAATGCGGCCTATTTGATAATTTATTTTGTGTGTGTACGCGTGCTTTAGTGCAAGCTGTAAGCCGACAGGGGCTGTACCAAATAGTGGTGATTTTTTTTTTCTCTTTCTTTTACATTGACCTGTAAAAATGCAAAAGGCCTAACTGTGAATCGTGCTGTGGCAGACGCCGCCAAACAAACGGTGACGTACGTCTTCGCGAACGCTTAAGACGATCCGCGAACAACAACATCAACAACATCAACAACATCAACAATTTCGATTTAAAGCTTTTGTGACTGCAGGAATTCATCTTCTTGGTTCTTTCGGTAAAGTCACGTAGAAGGGAAGTAATCAAATAATAAAAATAAAACATAATAAAATAATTCTCACGACGTTTCGGCCACAATGAGGACGGCTGCTTGCATTGTGGACGAAACGTCGTGAGAATTATTTTATTATGTTTTATTTTTATTATTTTATTACTTCCCTTCTACGTGACTTTACCGAAAGAACCAAGAAGAACATCAACAATGACGCTGTCGCTCTAAGCCAGGTGGCAGGGTGGGCGAGAGAACAATTGGCCCGTGGCCACGCGAGACCTAGGGGGCCGTCCATAAATGACGTCACGCACCTAGGGGGAGGGGGGGTGGTCAGACATTTGTGACGATGTGTGACGAGGAAGGGAGGGGGGGGGGGTTTGAGAAATGTGACATCACATCAAAATGCGCAACTCTAAATAAATATAGACAACACGTTCTACTGAATTAAATAGACTTTTTAATAAATGTTTTCTCCTACAACACCAGAGTGCAGCGCCACATTAAATACGCACTACAATGACAATAGTTTAAAGCGATTTGAAGCACATTTATGTTTTGGGGGGGGGGGGGGCAGAGCTTTGTGACGTCATATTTGAGAGGGGGGGGGGGGTTCAAAAATCGTCAAAAATCGTCAAAAATCGCGTGACGTCCTTTATTGACGGCTCCCTACGACCTCCGGCACCGAAGCCGCGCACTAATCGGGTACTAGAGAGAGAGGAGAGGGCACCACTCGAGACCCGACAACGATGCTGTGTTTCTCATGCCGGGGGCGGCTCGCTCGTCAACTCTATTTTTTTTCGTCACTGCGAAGGCCACTTGCTGTGGCGTGAGCATTGTACGTAGGTGTGTTGAGCTTCTTTCGCGCCGTACGTAGCCAACCGCGCTCGTCGGAGGTGATAATTATCGATTATAATCGGAGGCTCACCAAAGGGGTATTTTAAAATTCCTATTCGGAAGAGAGACGTCCCGTACCAACTTACTCTAAATGCAGGGACGAACAAATCAACACAAACCACTGAACTACAGTCGCTGTCTTCGGAGGGAGGCTTACGAGGAGACTGTGCCTTGCCTGTAGTCAGGCAATGTTTAACGTGAACGCAGGTCGCGTTCGTTTATGCAAACGTTTGAATTAAATAGAAATCAATGCAGCGCCTGGCTACGTCATGCATTGTTCTAACCATGCATTGTTCTAACCATGCAGTGATATAACCATGCAGTTATAATCATGCATTGTTATAATCATCCAGTGTTATCACCATGCATTGTTATCACCATGCATTGTTATAATCATCCAGTGTTATCACCATGCATTGTTATCACCATGCATTGTTATAACCATGCATTGTTCTAACCATGCATTGTTCTAACCATGCATTGTTATAACCATGCATTATTATAATCATCCAGTGTTATAACCATGCATTGTTATCACCATGCATTGTTATAATCATACATTGTTATAATAAAAAACAACGTTGTTCAAAGCCGAAGTACAAGTCACCAGGCTTGGCCACCCCCTCCTCCTCATCACCCCCTCCTCCCACCTCTCAATAACCAGGAGTTCATTTACTCGAGTTAAGAGAAAATCAACGATTGAAATGCAACGCGAGTGTGGAGATGCCGCAGTGGTTGGGACAGAATAAACGGGTCGCACGGTGTGAACGATAAACTTATGAAGTCCAGAAATTACGACGCTGTTTTGTTACTCATTGATTACGCATCGATCGAGGAGGCTGTGTGAATATCGCTCACGGTGCCAAAGCGCACAGAGTAACTTTTCAAAAATCGAGGTTATTTAAACTCCTGAAACTACTCTGGGTCTAGCAGTTGAGCTACAAACGTTTGCACTCCTTTACAAAGTATTATTATTATTCAATTGCCATTTACGAGGGCGGACCATCATCAGCTCTTGCGATGTTCACGCGAATGTATTTTTCTACGACGTGCAGTATTTGTGCTTGCGTGCGTGAAACAAGTTGTGCGCGATTCTCGGTACAATTTCAGAATCAGAAGATGTATTTATACTGGAGGAATCCGATGAGCTATAAAGCGTTTTTTTCACAGATGTCAAGGAGTTTCACAGATGTCGAGTCGCTACGCGCTATATTTAAAAAAAAAAGATTATTGAAATGAATGAATTTGTGCGAGCAATTGACGTACAAAGGTGATCCATGCATCGACATCCGACTAACGTGACAATGTGGAGACGTGAAAAGATGCCTATGGGGCCGTCCATAAATGACGTCACGCACCTGGGGGGGGAGGGTCAGACATTTGTGAGAATGTGTGACGAGGGGGGGGGTTTAAGAAATGTGACGTCACATAAAAATGCGCAACTTTAAATAAACAGACAACACGTTCTACTTAATTAAATATACTTTTTAATAAATGTTTTCTCCTACAACATCAGAGTGCAGCGCCACATTACATACGCACTACAATGACAATAGTTTAAAGCGATTTGAAGCATGTTTCCTTTTTTGGGGGGGGGGGGGGCAGAGCTTTGTGACGTCATATTTGAGGGGGGGGGTCTGACTTTTTGTGACGCCGTGTGACGAGGGGGGGGGGGTCAAAAATCGTCCAAAATCGCGTGACGTCATTTATGGACGGCCCCTAAAAAACATTTTACTGCACCTCATCCCCACCAATAGGAACACACCCTTTGTGACACACGCCACTCGCTCTCTCCTCCCGACGATACGGGAACCACCGCTTTCACAACGCAGCAATACCTCGGTTTAGGACGGGGATGCGTTCCTGAAAGGTGCGACGGCGAATAACCGAAGACGCAAGCAAGGCTGAGAGGCGACGGATAACGAGAAACGACGGACGACTGATGCGGCCAGCGACGTGCGTGTGGGTTGAGGCGACGCGAACTAAGGCAGCGGTAATAATAAAAGTCGTTATTCTTTCGTACGGCTGATGTGGGTGCAGAGCAACGAATACAATTTCACATTCAGGCGGTGAAGCCTAAGACAGTCACGTTCAGGAGCAGTGGAGTAGTGCATCGCTTGCGATGTTCTCCCTTCGTGTTTGTGTCACGACATATTTGCGACGACGTGAATCGGGGGTGTTCCTGTATGCAACCAGCTGCTGAGAAGTGAACAAGATCGCACTCGACATCAATGGGACGGGATGTCTATAAATGGATCGCACTGTCGTAGGCACAACGTTGAATTGTCCACGAATATTTTCGATTTAAAGCTTCTTTCGTGACTGCAGGGATTCATCTTCTTGGTTCTTTCGGTAAAGTCACGTAGAAGGGAAATAATAAAATAATAAAAATAAAACATTATAAAATCATTCTCACGACGTTTCGGCCACAACGCAAGCAGCCGTCCTCAGGTGAAGAACAGGTCTGATGTCTGTCGGAAAGACAGCGTCTGAATGAAACACCACCAGGCTTGGCAGCGTATATTTAAGCTGGGTTGGAGGGGGAAGAGCGCCTTGACAAAAGAATTTGTCCACGAATGCTCACAGCGCTTGGGGTTGGGGGCACTGGCCAACAACGGCCGACACTCGTCAAGGAGGCGGCGGGGTGGGGGGGGTCGCTGGGTCTGTGTCGAACAGAAGCACACGCGCACGTGTTCAATTACCTCGTCTTCGTGGTATGGGTGGCCGAAGTCAGTGCCGGATTAAGCTAGTGCGGGGCCTGTAGCATATGTTATAAAGGGGCCCTAAATAAAATAAAAACGCGTAAATATTAAAACACATACATTTTTTACTTGCATAGTAAATTAATTGTATTTTTCATTTGCTATACTGCCAGATAATACAAATCTCTAACCTTAAATACCCAGTCGTTCATAAAAGTTAAAGGCGGTATAGTACTATAGTAATAGAGCAAGTGCAGAATCACTGAACCGAAATTGATAGCTTGAAAGCGTTTAGCGCGGGGCCCTTGAAAGTGCTACGAGGATAATCCAGCACTGGCCGAAGTAGAAAACGTGCTGACCACAAGACTACAACAGCCGTGTGAGAGGAGGCTGCTCAATCTACAATGTTTGTAAAATTGTTTTCAGGCCCCTTTGTCGCTCCACTGCTAGATGAAGGCCTCCCCCATGCCATGTGAGACATGGGGGTTGTTGGATCATATTTAGGTCGGTGCGGATTAGTGAAGGGAGATGCATGTACGTATGTTTCACTTCTTTCGCACCGTACGTAGCCAACCGTGCTAATCGGATGTGCGGGGAAGGACAACTAAACACAAAAAGCAGTTCTAAAGAAATTAGTTTTCAATCGAGATGATGATTTAAAAGTGCGTAGCTCCAGTGGCTTCCGAATATCGTAAGGAAGAGCGTTCCAGACGGCCGCAGAAGCGCATCTGAAATCGCGCGATGCGGTGACCGTCTTTGTTTGATGGCTCAGCCAAAATCCGCTGCGAGGATGACCGGAGCTTTCGTCACGGTTTATGCTCTTTGACGAGATCAGCAAAGTATTGTAATTCATTTGTGGCGATCACTTTGTGTGTAATGAGCGCGACCCCATAAGGGACCTTGTCAGGTCGCACTCATTACAGACGGTGGGTAAGTCAATGATCATACTCGTTGGTTCTTTCGGTAAAGTCGCGTCAGTATAAAATAAATTAAAATAAATTTAATCACGACGTTTCGGAAGCAACACAAGCGTCCGTCATCAGGTGGGAAAGCCACAGCAAGAAACAAATTGCTGTCGTGGGCAAAAGAGCTGCTTGTGACAAGAGATTATACAAGGTAAGAGGAAGGGGGGGAGGGAGCACCTACATCAAGGACCAGTTCAGATATCGTTCGCACTGGCGTCAGCCGTGACCGGGGATTGAACGCAGGTTGCCGTGTTAATTAATAGGCGAACATCCAAACAGCTCCGCCACCGCCACCGCCTCGCGTTTGTTTAATAGCCTTGGAACGCTGCGCTGGTGAGCGAATCCTCATAAAATAGCACGGGGTGCAACCCACGCAGGCAAAGTGGAGGGGGAATTAATTGCAGGACCGACATGGGGTCTTCTCTTTCCAAAGCTGCCAACAGTGTCATCCAGACAGTGAAGTAAAACAAACATGAGAATGAAAGTCAAATTGTGTTGACATGAGTGGCAAATGCCTTTGCCACAACCGTTATTCGACGAGTGCCAAACGAGTGTTGTTGTTGTTCCCACCTGATGACGGACGCTTGTGTTGCGCCCGAAACGTCGTGATTCATGTTATTTTATACCTACGTGACTTTACCGAAAGAACCAAAGAGTAACAATGTAATAATAGCAATTTAAACGCTCCCTATTAAACCATCGTTCTAATGGCGCTCCGCACGTGAACGGCGGAAATATTTTAACATCAACCGAGGAAAGAAGTGAGGAAGGCGTTAAAAAAATAACTAAAGAGAAATACATTTTAAACAAACGCATTTTAGTCGAGATTTGATCTGTACGTGTCTCTGAAGCCCTGACCTCGAAGATGCAGGGAGTTCCAGAGTTTAGGTGCCGCAATTGCAAATGTACCGTCATCACCCCCCCCCCCCCCGAATTGTGTAACCTCGAGACCGTGGGACAGTGACCAATGCACAATCTTACGACCTCCACCGCTCACAAAAGGGTATTGTGGGTAAGGTGGTGTGGGGGTTAATCGTGGTGGCAACCGCCTCAAAAACCTGCTGTGGAACACATTCGTGGCCCTAGGGTGGTGGGACATGCCACGTGTAACGCATACACAAGATTCCTGTGAACGCCGTCATTGACGTCGAAAAAAAACCAGTTGCCGAGCATGCAAGTTGCAGAGCTCAAGTTCGGACTGCACCGAAGCCAGTGAATGGACGGCACACTTTGTAGGGCAGTTCGACTTGTGGGTCGTTTGCGAAGGAAACACGTTCCTTCGGAGTGGGCAGGTAGGTACTTGGTTGGACAGCGCATTCGTGCGATCCGTGTCACGCGGCGCAAGCTGCGTGGGGCGGCGCGTCACGTGGTGCCGAGCCCGTCCGAAGCGCTCGATATGAAATACAAATTGAGAGCGTGGCTATGCACGACCGACAGACAAATCATCCCTGGTGGGCAGTGTGGAACTTTTGTTCCTACCTGTATAAAGTGAGGGTGCCCCGTCCGCCTCTTCTTAACTTTTACTACTTTTACTGCAGCCTTGCACGCCTCTTTGGGTCTCAATAGTTAAAGTATAATGTTAATAAATACGTAGGCTTGATTAAACAAAGTTATACTTTGGTGCCCGTGCTTAATTTGTTTCGATGATTTACCTTCTAAGGAAATATCTGGCCATGTCTCGCACCACCAGGTTAAGAACCATCGCTCGAGGGGGCTACTGAAAGCTCCCTCTAGCGGAGGTCTTTCCGGCAGCAGTGGGGAAGCAACTGCAGGGCTGCGCCTTTAGCTCCACTTGACGTCGTTATGCAATACCGTAAGTGCAATTTATTTTTCTCTCGCAGCTTTGCTAAAAAGTCAAAGCGCTAGAGTTATACTGCAACCTGTGGAATCTGACTTGTGGCAAAGATGTGCTCGTGTCCATTACGAACAATGGGAGCCATTTACCCAGGCATCGATGCGCCTTGATTATTTCACCGACGCGTCGGCTTGACCAGGTGTGTGTCCATGCGCACGTGAGCAATATGGTCACGGCTAATCCGCCACTGGCGCGCGCCTCTCAGCCAGAGGTGGGAATTCCACATATCCATGGCTTGCCAAACTATCGGACAACCCACTGCTGAGTTCGTGCGGCTGTAAGCAAATTTTTCAGCAAAAACCAATATGCAAAATTACATTTGCAGTTGAGCGGTGTTTGGGAGAAAAAATATAAAAAACGTACGCGTCAACGGAGTTAAATTAGCCATCAAAATTAACGCATATACAATGGAGTTCAACTATTATCAACACGGATTCACAATTCCAACACACGGCCGTGTATTTTTTTATGTACACTGCCTCTTAGGTTATCATCCTTTGGTAATGTTAATTTTACTTTAATGCCATATTAATTACCCAATGTACCAGACAAACAATAAATGTTTCCACACTGTAATTTTCACCCACACTCGTGTTTCCTGACGATTAAATATTCTATTTACCCACAAAAGCCACACCCATGGGACCAAAAAAAAACCCCACACATTTGGCAACAACGCAATTTCTGCCAATATTTTAAAGGATATACGAAGATTTAGAAAGGGCTTGCACTTAGATTTTTGTTCAAATTATTGTATGCAGTACTATAATAAAGACATGCAATCGATAAGCGAACTGCCACCGCACACTAATGCTGCAGATACGTTTCTGATATTCGGTGGCATTAACATAAAAACAAGGTTGCCCTTGTATTTATATAAAAAAAACACCGGGGTGTGTTGTATTCTCAAGGGCCCACTGGCTAATGGCTAAATGTATTTTATTTGATTACTGTTGTTTAAGCACTTGATTCTAAGATTGTTCAAATATTGGTTGGTAATCGAACCAGCCCATCGTGTCTTTAGTGGTTAATACAATGAGTGACTTGTGGGAAATAGTTGTCAATCTACGGAGGGAAATCCCCACCAAAGAAATGTGGAATTTCCACCAAAAGGGAAATGGAGAGCGCATGCTCATTGGCTCAAGGAATAACACTGAATTAGAATGTGGGGCACTTAATTGCCACAAAACCATGCGGAGCAGTGTTTTCAACATGTTTCCCAAATCAATTTATTAAGTATAAAACATGGGCACAGTAAAATGACACAGACAGCTTGTTTCTCATTCGGTACATGCTACAACGTTAGGACGCAGGGCTGGGAGACAAGGGGGGGGGGGTGGGTGGTGGGAATTCGGGAGAAGAGAGCAGGGGGGGAGGGGCGCCGAATGCTATAAACGGCACACGCACAAACAAAAAGAGAGAGAAAAACTAAACAATCCTGAACGAAGCTGTACAGTTCAGACCCCCATATCGCTTGTACAAAAACGACATCTACCGTTCGACTGAACTGTAGTGTAAAGTTAAAAAATGATTCACTTCACACGAGAGAGAAATAATAATATTAATAATAAACCAACGGTGTACGTGAAATTATTTATTTTCAATGGAATTGGCTGGAAAAAAAAAACACAAAAACTTGCTTTTATATCATTTAACATTAATACCATCGTCATCAACGTATGAAAAAAAGAAACCCACATTATATTAACGAACATCGCCCCCCCCCCTCCGTTAACCATTCACCGCACAGGTCTGCAGCACAAAGCGCCTCGTCCTTCCCAAGCAAACTTGGGGGGGGGGCAGCCGTGGGGCTGGGGGCGCGCTCTTAAAACCACCCAAATCCTTGACCATTCTCCAACATCCTGGGAGAGATGCACGCGCCAGCAAGTGTTGATGTGCAAAATAAATCCGAGGCGATGAAGGGAGGGGGGAGGGAGGGGGCTCAAAATGTTTTCTCAAGAAATACATTGGATAAAAAAAAGATCCATTCTTTTTTTTAGATTTTTCTAACAATCCGTAGAAACTTTGGAAGTAATGTTCGTTTGTTTTCAAATAATTCGCTCTAAAAATTACAATGTTTCGCATTACGTGTTTCATAATTGTGCCCATTATGAGCAACTTGAGATGTGGTTATATACTCGTGTAATCTTAGACATTACATAAATCAAATCCGCGACCACAATCAACGCGCCAAGATAACCATGAGACGATACTCGCTCTATCAGCACCGGGGGAACGATAAAAAAATGACCCATGCAAACATCAAAGCTCATTCACCAGAGAAACAAAAATTAACCCTTCACCCCCCCCCCCCCCACAATGAAGCTTACACCAGTTTGTATTTCATTTTTTGAAAAAAGAAAAACCAAAAAAATCCAACTACAAAACAACACACACGTGCGCACTTGGTGGCAAGGTTAACACATCCCCCCTCTTCACGCACAAACAATTCCAAAACACGGCAGCAACTCCATGGGCGATAGAAACGGCGGCGCTTTCAATTGTCTTCTATGCCAAACGCTTCTGTCAAGTTCACAACTCAGGGGGAGGGAGGGAAGGAGGGACAGCGTTCAACAGCAAATATCGCGCTTGTATCCGCTAACGGTGGGGGGGGGGGGGGGGTTACACGACAATTGTCCGCCGTTAATTTAAAATAATTAACGAGGCACAGATCTCTCGGCTTTAAAAAAAGAGGCCCCCCCACCCCATCCAACTTGTGGTGGTGCTAATAGCGAGTGGTGGTGGGGGGGGGGGGTCGCGCACCCGAGGCCGACAAACGCGGCAATAAGTTCGCGACACCAATTTATTAAACGTGACAACGGAATTATTCCCCACAACCGAGGAGGGGAACGCTTGGAAAACGGCACCGCGTGGCTTCAAATTGAGAAAGGGGTTTGCGGCGCTGGAGAGGAAGTGGGGAGGCAGGAGGAAATGAAGGGACTCTCCCATCAGTCACAACAACAAAACGTTGGCTTATTAAGAATTAATCAGGCGAGAGATGCAATGTTATGTGGGGGGTCAGATTCCGCAGGTGTCTACGACTGGGCTCACCACCCACGCTACTCTTGATCTAAGCGCAAATGCACACATCAGGGATGAGCGATACAAAGAAATCCTCAGCGTACGGCAATCCCCATCATCTTACTGCCGGAGGCATTCATTCCCGGACGCCGCCGATATTACCACAGGGTGCCACAGCTCCCAAACTCTGCGCACTGCCAAAAACCGCGGCCGTGACGGCGATGACGCGTCTGCCTTTCGACACCTCGTCTTCCCCTGTCAAGGGAATTTTTTTTCCCCAAATAGATGTGGAATCTCTGCCCAGGAATGAGGGTGTCGAGATGCTTTCTCCGAGGCCCTCTCTCCTGCCGAGTTGGTTGGATGCACCAGCATTATTTTTGCGTGCGACAGGATACCAGAGAATGCACGTGCAAATTTTGGGTTGATTTACGATTGCTTTTTAAAATCAGACCTACGAGGGGGGGGGGGGGCTTGTTACGAAAAATTGTTAAACTTGTTTTGTACAAATTATAGATGTTCCAATTGAGAAATGTGGCTTGTAAAAGCAAGAATCAATAACCCGTTACTTTTAAATCAGGTTAAAATTGCCCACTGAAACGCAACTGGTGTGTACTTTTCAGTCTCTCAACGACAGGAATTATTTTCTTGGCTGCACCAGAAACTCCCCCTGCAACTGGCTCATCGGTGCAAAGGCTGACTAGCAGGTCACCAAACAACCATAGAAAACCCTACGCTAAACCGATGCGACAAACGCCAACACGGAAATTGCTCGGTGGAATGAAACGCAGCCGCCTCGGCCACATTCACCGTGCTGCTAATTGCACTTACTAAACAGGTGAAATGGGTTCAACCAGCAAGGAAGTGTCACGTCGCCTGATGCCGTTTCAAATAATCCATCACAGACGACAAATCGCTCAGCCCTAAACAGCAACGTCGTTTCATTTTAAGTATTTGTTTTGGCCCAGCCTCAAAACTCGCAAACAGACCAAACGGAAACGAACAGAAAACAGCGACGGCATTTTTGGCATCAGGCGAACCGTACATTGTGACAAAACGGTCTCCCTCCAATATTCTACGACGATGCCAAGTCGGCAACAACCCCAGTGCTGCAAATAGACTATTGCTAATTCACGTACGCTTTCGCACCGTCGATCAGTAGTAGAGCAAAACCTTTCGCGGGTGACTGGGGGGGGGGGGGTCATGCAACATTCAACAACGGGGTCCAGAGGGGGTCTCAAATTTTCGCCGTTGAGGCCGCGCTGCCACCAAGAGCACGTCGCCGAGATTGGTGGCAGCGCGACGCGGCCAGCGCGCAGCTCTGCTCAAAGTTGGGAAAGCGAACTCAAGTCGATAGCCAACACCGCCAAGTCTCCATTAGATTGAGAATGCTGCCAAAGCAAGGCTGGTTGGGGGGCGAGGGGGGAACTCAACGTTTTCAAAAATACAATTAAATTGACGTTTCAAAATGCTCATTCGAAATGTACATTAATCAATAGCGTGGCCAACGGGCTGTTATCAGGACTGACAAGTGGGGGAAGGAGACTGGGAGAGAGGGAATGGGGAGGTTTTGTGGGCATAGAGGCAGTTGTGTAAAGCGCATGTAGCTGTCGCATCACACATCCCTAGCTCTCGCCACAGCTTAGCTCTTACACAGCTGAGGCCGACGCGATGTGAACATAAAACATAAATAGCATGTATACTGTATGAAAGCAAACAGCTGACGTTTTAAGACCCAAAGAAAATCGTTGAAAAAATCATGGGAGTTTTAACTTTGGTAGCGAGAGGAGGAAACGAAAGCACTTGCGCGATTTTGGTTCACAGACGGCGGGAGATTTCAAAACAGGGGCCTCACCCCTGCGGAACGAGCACGGGCCGGCGCTCATCTTCAAACAGCCGCTCTGGGAATTGCGCCACCCTGCGGCCTTATCTACGGTACAAACACCATAATGTAACAAACCCTGAATATTTAATGGGGCACAAGTCTACCCAGCTACTGGGATTTAACATCCGAAAACCTCGTGGTTCCGAGTTAAATGCTCTAACCGCGGCAACCACCACATTGTGCATTTGCCTGCGACCTCCCCTCTCCCACAACGATCCACTTCCTTCTCCCATGTTTTTTTCAGAAACACAAATCTCGCAACACATTACGAACGACCTGCAGAGCATACACACACACACACACAAAACGTGTGCACATGCTACGTTTTAAAATAAAAACAGCAAAAATACCACATCACGCGTTTTACATAGTTCTGTTGAATCGTGGGGCCGACCAAATATTTCCGATACGACACTTAAACGACTTGTCCAATGTCCAAAGCTTTCAAGTGGAACACAAGCGAAAAAACACGATACTGGCAAAACGAGATAATTTTTTTGTCATATAAAGAGATGCGCCAAAAAGTCTTTGAGTCGCGTCTCGACTGCAGACGGACGCATCACATTTGTTTTACGCAATCATTGAAATACAGTGGTACACACTCTCATTTTTAATATGTTCTTGGAATTTACTCTCGCTCATTTAAAAACCGCCATCGCGGCACACAGCGTGACATTTTAAAAGAATCAAAAAATCCAAAAACAGTTGTAGGCGTCAATGTTCAGCAACAAGAGGAACTGAAGAGGGGGGGTCGGGGGGCGGCGGTCGATCGAACAAAATACGTAAAGCGTGTTCCCCTATATAAAAGGCCTGCAGAAAAATGAAACGGCACAGCACAAAGTTTTCCTCGTCACCAACTATATATATGTTTCTTTCGTGTCATTTTTAGCACAGCCCCTAATCCTGTGGGCGGTTAAGACCGACGCTGGACTGGGGGGGGGGGAGGGGGGAAATCGTTCATAGTAGAGAGGGGAGAGTAGCGGCACTACTCTGAAGTACAAAACGCTGGATATGTGTGAAAGTTACAACTCTCATCCCTGGGCTTCGCTGTCAAACCTTTGTCGAACGGAACACAACAACAAAATCTCCCTGCCACGTAGAAACGTCCACCCACGCCACTTAGACACACAGCGGTATCACCAAACACAGCGCGCTAACTCATTTCACCTACAATTAGGGCAACAACAATCAAAAGAAACATATGGCCAAAAACGCCAACTTTCTTTTAAGCATCGTTTTTTTCAGGTTTATGTCGGAAGCTATTAAAAATGTTTCAACCGAGTCGTATGTGTACACGTTTTCTGTTACTTCATTTCGGCAACTATCAAAGCAAACCCATTCCACCCCCCCCCCCCCCAACTGAAAATAAAACACGAGAAATAATTAACACATTACCACCACGTTGTTAAAAATAAGTTAGTCCTGCTGCGTATTTTTCATATGACCTGACGTGAAACTCGAAGTGTGGAACGCACACACGTATTGGCGCTCTCAAAAGCGGTCCCCCCGCCTCTCCCAAACCAAACCAAAACCCCCAAAAAGCCTCAAGTCGCCGTTACACAATTCTAACACATAGAAAATATATACTCGTTTTGTAGTCCAACAAAGGGGGGGAAGGGGGGTGCAGCAGGGTTAACAGGTGAATCACAAACCACCGCGCAGTGTCTGTGTGCGGGTGTGCGCGCGTGCGTTGCAAGGCCTGTGCCAGATTACGGATTAATTTACTGTCCCCATCGTCTACGGACTCTTGGTTCGTTTTTTTTCTTGAGGTTTTTTTTTCTTCCAAAAATACCAAAAAAAAAACCCAACAAACACACAATGCGAAGAATAATACGCACGTGAGATAAAAACAAACGAAAGGAGAAAAAAAAATCATTAGTCAATCATTCTATAAATTGAACAAACAAAGAAATTACCATCACAATAAAATACCACTTGGTTTTATCATTACATTAGACACAAACAAAATAACCAATGCGTTTAACATTATTATCGTCATCATGAAAAATGAAACAAGAGATAGCAGAAAAAAATCGTATTATTTTTTTTTAACAAGAGTTCAATACACACAATCGCGCTAAACGCTGAGGGGGGGGGGGGGGTGGCTGGGTCAGCTGGCGGGATTGCGCAACAGCGGCTCACGGCTCAGAGCTCCCTCAGTGGCCCTGTGGGGGTGGGATACAGCAGAGATGGGGGGGGGGGGCAGCAGCCATTAGTAAAATACGACTAACCAGAAAACATTTTACATGCAGGCATTCATGAGCCACAATATCATGATTCACGATTATGAATCCTCGCAGTGACAGGGGCTTTTGGCTGGCCATTGAACAAAGATGGTCACTGCATCGCGTGCTTTTGATGTGCGTCTGCGGCAGTCTGGAACGCTCTTCCTTCCGATATTAGGAAACCATTGGAGCGATGCACTTTTAAATTATCTAGATTGCAAACTCATTTATTTAAAACTGCTTTTTGTGTTTAGTTTGTTGTCCTTCTGCCCACACCTCTCCGATTCACAGAGTTGGTAACGTATGGTGCAAAAGACATTCAAGATGTACATTAGGTTTATAGGTTTTATTTTTGCAGAGGTATAAAACCCAAAGGGTAAGAGATGCTCATTTTCGATGGAGACTTGCTACACCATAGAAATCTGGTTACCGGAGCAAAAAAAAAACATTAACAAAACAATCTACAAACTGTAATCTCTAGTAAAATGTAGAATAAAATTGCCAACATTCTGCATACTTTTCAACACTTCAGTTTGTGCCGATAACCCAAATCATTTGGCATATTTGCCCCACGTGGATACTAGAGGGTAAGTAAAACTAATTTAACATGATACCCTAACACAGTGATCTAACCCAATACAAATTATGAACCGTGAATAAAAGGCGGCTCTTTTTCCTCAATGCGTCATCAGCACCCGCATTTGTCTTATTCTCCACTGAAGCTGATGTTGCCACTGCAAAACTCCTGATTCAGTAAATAGGTCAATGTGACAAGCACACAACTTCGTGGGCGACCGAGCTGTGAATATACACCATGCACACGCTTTTATTTGCGCTCAAAAGTAGAAAATACATTTTGACCCCCGAATTAATAACATTTGATGTGCTCAATAAAAGTGGGTGGCTTGCATAAAGAAACTAAAACATTGAAAGAAAGCCACCCACTTTTATTGAGCATGTAAAATTTTACTAATTCCAGGGTCAAAATAATGTATTTTAACATTTTGAATGCAAATCAAAGTGCGTGCATTCAAACGCATGGTTTTTACCAATTTTATTTTGTACTTGTTGCTAAGCGATTCAGGGGGGCTTGATCCAAATTGTAAATATTAGTTAGTTATTTTTCCCCACTGTACCCCCATATACAACCTCCATTGGTAGGAACACACATGAAATGGTATAGAATAAATTCTTACAATTTGTTTCACAAACTTAAGAATCTACATTTACGAATCATGGATAATTGCAGCAGTGGAAGCAATGTAGGTCAATGTTTCTAAACTCCAGGCTATGTCCCCCACCCACAATGATCCACCGTTTCTTAGTTATCAATCTTATTCATATGCAAAGCACACACCTGATAGTTGGTATTCTAAGAAAAAACACATTCTGTGGGGGGTGGGGTGGATGGGTAGCACAGTGTTGCGACACCCGCCACTGGTGTAGGCGACAATGACGGAGGGGGAAAAGTGTTTTTTTTACCTGCGGCGCGTTGGGGTTGCCCTGCGCCCCACCGGGAGCGTAGTACGCCTGCTGGCTCTGCTGCCGGTAGTACTCGGCCCAGGCGGCACTGTAGTCCGGCTGGCCCCCCTGCTGCCCTGGCTGCCCCTGCTGCTGCTGCTGCTGCTGCTGCGATCCTGGGGCCGCACCACCGCTGCCTTGTCCCTGGGCTTCGGCTGGAAGCAGAGGGGAGTGGGTGAAAAAAAGAGCATGCGGAAGATTTGTAAATCGCATCGTAAGGGACCCCCCCCGCCACCCCGAGTGGATTCCGTGACCTGCCATGTACAACAGCCATGTGCCTGTGTGTTTTGTACATTTTTTTCCCCCCTAATTAGACCACTACGTAGGTTTTTGCAACTGTGGGTTTGTACGTGGTGAAACGCTCCTGCAAAAATGCTCCCGAGCAGGTGGAGCGAAAACATTGGACATCGCGCCAACCAACAACGGTATAACCAAAAACCAAAAAAGAAACATCCATCAGGGAGAGAGATTTTTCCTCCTGGTATTTTAACTGCGGTTATCAGCATCCTGTTGCAAGACGTTTCCACCCCAGGGCTCTTCCAGAGAGCGCCACATCACCCGAGTTAGGCATCTGTAAGGGGTCATCAACGATCTGCTTTTTAAAAAATCTAGATTGAAAACTTAAGTTCTATAGAACTGCTTTGTGCGTTTTAGCTTGTTGTCCTTCCCCCGCAACCGCCGATTAGCACGGTTGGTTACGTACTGCGCGAAAAAAGTTCAACATGCATACAATCCACGCAGTGTGTGTGATGGTGTCACGTGGCATGCAGGTGACCTCTAACCCACACACCAAAGTCTGACTTTCCATGCTTTTAGGTATTTGCCATTGACATTCAAACCAAGAATGTTGTCAAATAAAATATGATAGCACAAAATTCACCATGATTTTCACGCAGTCTCTGTGGCAACTAGGCCAAGACCACCGAATCGTTACGCCTGAAAAGCTGGTTTATTCGCCGTCCGCTGACCGGACTCAAACCCAGGTTCTCAGTGCCCAGACACGAGCCATCTGAGGCACCCATCCCCGCCTACCTGCGTCGTGTGGCACTTTCAGATCGTGCTTCTGCGGCCGTCTGGAACACTCTTCCTTCCGACATTAGGAAGCCGCTGGAGCTATGCACTTTTGAATACTCTAGATTGACGAACTAATTTCTTGAGAACCGCTATTCTGTTTAGTTTCTTGTCCCACCCACACACCCCCGAGTAGCACGGTTGGCTAGGTATGGTGGGAAAAGTGTTCTACTTACATACATTTTGGTACGTGTGAGATTTGTCTTAGAACAGAGGTGAATTACCCACAAATGTGTCACAAGGTACCCATGGTTAAATGTATATCCAAAACCACAAATTAACTCTCGTCTCGTAGACATATACCTAGGCCGTGTGCTATTTATCATTATGCTTGTTCATGCAGAGAAGCCCGACTCATTGCAGGAGGGTCCTGCCATGTTTTTTGACGGACAGGGCGATGATTACTCCGCACATTCCAGGTTCGTAATTTGCGGGTAATTTTTCAACTTTAGATCGTGATGCAGCAGCACACAACCTATTACTCTTGCGAATTACATTGCGGGATCTTTTAATTCCGCTGTGAAGCAGATGGTTCAGTTCGCATTATTGCCAACATAGCGCATTCAATCAAATCAATGATTGATGTGTTAGAAGCGTATGCAGGTGACGCCTTTTTATGCCATGACAAACACACGTATTCATGAATGTAATATACGATTTGTCATTAACGAAGCTTCGTTAATGACAACTTGTGTCAGATATCCCAACTATACTGGAGGACAGCAAAGTCACTAACTGCTAACCTTCAAATCCAAGACACACGCATTGGTTTTGCCAATATAGTTTGGAGCACTGTTTGTAATCAGGGCATTTGGGGAAATGGTGTTTGTATTAGATTACCTGAACAAATATGCACAGGCAAACGTTGATGACAAGTAGATTGCTAAGGTACCAAGATAGTCTTATTCATAATCAAGTGGAAGGCCCTGAAGATTTGAGATGCCCCCTATTCACAACTGCTTATATTTTTCTTCTTCTTGGTTCTTTCGGTAAAGTCACGTAGAAGGGAAGTAATAAAATAATACCGAAAGAACCAAGAAGATGAATCCCTGCAGTCACGAAAAATTTAAATCGAAATTTAACTGCTTATTTAACTACTGTATACCCAGGTATACAGAGAAACATGCCTCCTTGGAAAAAACTGTCAAGTCCTATCTATATATAAATGCCCTATTGCTCACAAATAACAAATGACAAAAACGCTTGCCACAGCTTACCCTGCTTTTTATAGTATTCTTCCCAAGCCTTGCTGTAATCAGGCTGCTGGCTGCTTGGATTCTGCTGACCTGCAATGGCGATCATGCACGCACGCACGCACACGCACTAACAGTGATTCACCGCTAAAGCAGTCGTAACAGCATCATCATCGCACACGTAACCAGGGGGTTAACGTTAACTAGGTTAACGTCCCCTTGAAGGTAACGGAGGATTCTGAATACGGCAGAATGGATGAGCTTAAACCGCAAAGCAGCCAATCTGCTCGGTTGGGAAGAACTGGGGGCAAAGGTGAAGGGAGTTCAAAACCAGAACTGCCAACACTGTGCCCCGATGACCTCATTGTTAGACCGGTCATGGGAGATGGATGGATGGAAGTCACGGGACAACACACACCTGCCTAAGACTCCTGCACGTGTTCACTTGGGAATGGGATTGTTTGCATGGAGCTGTCGCATGCCAATCAATCTTTTGACTTTACAAAATAGTGAGGGGATAGGGGAATGGGGTCTGTCCTGAGACGTGTGGGTACGATTTGGCAACCACTGTCGACATGCCTGCACAGTGTGCAGTCTCAGCAGGTGACACTCATCTTAAAGACCCCGGAATGATGATGCAATTTCGTCAAACCCCGACTGGGATTTTAACTAATTTAGTTATAAAATGGCAGCTACTAGCCAATCAACTGCACTAGATTTTGAACATTATTTCTACCCTACATACATAAACACAAACACACACACACAAAGGTAACCCAAGAGTCATCGTCGTACCAATTTTCTTGTAGTACTCTTCCCATGCCTTGGTGTAATCAGGCTGTCCGTTCTGCCCGCCCGCTGGCTGGCTTGGATCTGCCGTGACACAAAACACAGAGGGGTCAAACCTTGACGGGAACCAGATGCAGTGATCAGTTGGCGTGCATGGCGAAGAATGAAGCGCGGGTCTCACCAGTATTACAGAACAGGAGTAGCTGAAGGTACCAATGATGAAGCATTGTTTGCAATGCACCGGCTGATGCACGCACGTACAGAGACTTACAAACAATGCCCTGCCATATGGTTTAAGTGCTGCAGTGGAAGTGTGGAGACGTCCATCCTGTGTGTGAAAAGGTGTCCCCTACAACTGGTGAACATAAAGGTAGATGTACCCGTGCCTGTCGTGTGTATACAGAGGTGAGCTCTACACACTGCGTGTGTGTGCAGGAAATGCCACTAAGCTGTCGCGCGTGTGTAAGTGTATCTACACCCTTCTTGTGTGTGTACACATGGAAGTATACCTACACCTTTCTTGTGTGTGTACAGGGAGGTGTACCCGCACCTGCTGTGTGTGTGTGCACGTGCGTGCGTACAGGGAGACTCTCTCACCTGCTGTGTGCGCGGGGTTGTGTTGCGTGGGCTGCTGTCCGTAATACTGGGCGTAGTATGCAGCCCAGGCGGCAGAGTTGGGGTCTCCTGACTTACCTACGCGTGTACACACACAGATATTATTATCGTGACTAATTCGGTAAGGAAACATGGCAGATTCCAATCCACCGCTGGGTGAAGGCTTCCCCCATCTCGTGTCATAACACCACGCTGCTCGGTGTGGGTTGGTTAAGAGTATGACTAGAGTGTATTATTGGTGGTAAAAACTCAAGTTTATGCACAGTCCTAATCAGCTTGTGAAGAGAATAGAAGGTTTCTAAGTTATTGCGCATTTGAATTTGTGCCTGAACGTCTCTTGGAATGGTAACTTGTTTGCTAAAATTAAGCCAATAGAAAAAAAAATAATTTGAATCTTACAAAGCAGGATGCCTGTATTGAAGTACAAAGAAGGCAATTTGACCAATTAATACAAATAATGAAGAGTGTATAATTCTAAAAACGTTGTATAACTTTGCAGGCATGTTGTATATATGGCAAGTCCTCGCGAAACGCGTTTTTGCTGTTAACGACGGTCCTATTTAGGAACACTTAGCAGAACACGGAATGCGCACCGATATAAAGCGGTTTCTGAGCTAAAGTAGCTCGACAACGAACTACTTTCTTGAGCTGCGCAGCTGAGCAGTACGATACAGTACGCGGAATGATACAGTACGCAGCGTAACCTCATCTCACTTCTTTGTCCTGCCATAGGATGACTGCAGGTTGATTTTAAAGTGAAAATGTGATTCAGTAATGCCACGCTTCACGTAATTTTCGGTTAATGTAGCACTTTTTCAGGCACGCATCGACCATTTTAAACGAGGGATTACTGTACAATCTATAGCGAATCACAAAACAGATTCTTGAGGACAGCAGAGCCATGCATACCTTATTACCAACAGACGTCTCAAGGCCAAAATTCCAGTGATTTTACTGCAAGCGCCTTGTATAAATTGGGCTAAGTATAAGTAATGGGCCAAATCAGATTTAAGCGCAACACAACATTCATATCAAGAATCAAGCGGGTCTTATAATGCAGCTTAGCAACTGGAACCAAACCTAACACATCTGCCAGGTATTTCGATTTAAGAGGCGCCATGTCACAAAAAGCAAACGGCAATTATTTATTGACATGCAACAAGGCTGCCAGTCAAAAACACACATCAAGTTTTATTGATGATAAAAAATTAAATGACTTGAAATTTGTCAATTGTGCCAGAGTGAAGTCACTGAAATGTGACTGCCAGATAATTCAACACCGTGTCAATAGTGAGGCCACTAGAGTGCAATAATGGCACACTTTATAGAAGTTGTAAAACTTCCGTTCTCATTAACAACGCTTTAAACGCACATCAGGCACATGCAGACAGGCACACGAGTCTAACGGCTGTTAAGTATTTTTTGGTTGAGTCTTCACTTAAGTGACTACCTGGTTGTTGCTGGTTTAGTACCACATCATTATTCCCCAGTACATCTAAACACCAGTGTGTGGTGGCATGCATCCTCGCTCATGCAGCACTACTACTCACTGGGGTCTTGCGCAGCAGGGTTCTGCTGTGGCTGCTGCTGCTGCTGTTGTTGCTGCTGCTGCCCCTGTGCCCAGGGTTGGTATCCACCGGGCCACCCACCCGCCTGGGGAGCGAAGGCCTGCTGCCCGGGTCCACTGCAGCACGGAGGGGGGTAGGGGGGGTGTTAAGGACACATGCACCAGTTAAGATCTGGTCTCCAAACACCACACACCAGGGCTGCAACAAAGCATTACTCGTGCATTCAACAACAGTCGGGTGTAATAGTTCACAGACCTTTGTCAATCTACTGCTGGATGACGCTGACCCCCCACTGTGCTGCTATAAATTTCCACGTGATAAGCCACTTCGTTGAGCTATCATTTGTGTTAAGGTCGCATCTGAAAAAGAGCTACATAGCTCAGTGGGTCTTACCTTGTAAAATAAACAGTTTGGTTTAAGTTTATATCAAATCACAGGTTTGTTTGACCATACTTCACCACTCTGGTGAGTGTTGGTTGATGAAGGGGGTGGGAGTGTGCCAGCCACTGGTTCAATTATCACTTGTTACCGATCTTAAGTCTAAATGACTGTCACCCCGACAGGGGGAAAGTCATAAGCCCTCCTTGCATGATGAAACGGCTTGAGTTTCCACACTGCCTTAGGGGGCCTCAACAACTGCCATGAGCAAAAACACGAATTCCAAAAAACTATGATTAAATTGACATCACTGTCAAACCACTGCTGGATGAACGTCTCTATCCCGTCTGAGTTGTGGGGTGGGGGGTTGGTTTGAGCATACATATTCTACGACACACTGATCAGTGCAGTTTGGTGACATGGGGGAGGAGCCAACACCGGTTGAGATATCACTCCCTCAACGATCTTAGCTCAGGTCGGGAATCGAACTTAGATCGCCGGGTTCGTAGCTCAATACAGTAACCCTACGCTTCACCCAACACTCAGCTTTACACCAACGCTGATCAGTCGCTAGCAAGATATTTCTGCAATTAGATGGTGCGGTGATGAGGACATTCCAACTCACAATAGAAATTTTGGGAGTTCAAATACCGGTCAGAGGTTGACTTTACCCTTGATAAAATAAGAAACGCACGGTGTGTAGGAAGTTAAGCGTTCATCCTCTCTTACAGAGATTGTCTCACATCCCAGTGAAGTTAGATTTCCACCACCAGCTCACTGGAGCGGCAAAGTGTGATGGCGCACCTTTGTGTTTTACCACTGAAAGCAAGAGCAGTTATGGGAATGGAAGCATACAAAAACTGGCTCAGTGGTCAGGTGTTCTGCCTGCTAGTACCCAGCCACCGACCGCGATGGTAGCAGAATGAACGTCAGCTTACTTTTGGTGAGGAGGGCCTGGGGGTCCCTGTCCATAGGGACCCTGTCCGAAAGGGGCAGGTGCTCCCCCGAAAGCAGAAGGTCCCTGGGTGACACGAGAGCAGCAGGAGCAGGGCAGGTGAGAAGAGGACATTGGACGAGCAGACGGGAAGCACACAACCATCGCCCCAAAGTTAAGTCGGCTACAACTCCGCACACCTGTTAAACTAGGGCCTCCCACATTTGTTGAGAGAATTAACAACGACACCGTGCAAGAGTGCCATCAGTAAAGGCACGAGGTCAAAACGAATGTTCAGTGGACCTCTTTAGTTCACAGAAATGTCACGTGGTCATGAGGGCAAGGCCCTGGAGGAGACATCACAGGCCTGTGCCATGTACATCCTTCACCCAACACGGGTAACACTCAACCAAACTCCTTATGTTGAGCTTCGCCTAATCTTCCAGGAGAACTTGTATTTACAAACTTTGACCGTTAAATCTGGTGACCAGGCTGAGAATCAACTCATGATCCTTTAAGTAACTTTCATGTTGGGTGGATTTGAATCCAGGACTTGAGTGGTGCTTGCCAAGACACCGACTAAGCATGAAATATAACCCCAAAACCACCAAATAACACCACACAATGTATGGTCCCCCTTCATCAATAATATGCTCACATGCTGGCCACCTTAGTCTAAAAAAGCAATGGGAGCTCATGCTTTTAGCAGTGCGGGCCCTTACCCCAAGCCCCATCTTCTCATCCATTAGGTGCCTCGCGTGGTCCACTTGCTGCGGCGAGCCCCGGATGAGGAAGATGCGGATGTTGGGGTCGGTGTTGGGGGGAGGATTCCTCTGCAGCTCCACCCGTGCGCCCGATGTCTGGCTGATGTGCTTGATGGTCTCCCCACCTGGCACGATGAGTACAAGGGTCGCACAGGTTACACGAGGATCAGATGTGATCCAACAGGTGCCTGGATTATTCTGATCACAACGAGGACCTAGCTGGATTTTGTATTATGATAATAATTACTCGAGAAAGTGTTGTGAATAATAAAGTGACCCGACCGACCAATGGAAAAATGAAGCTACGTAACGTATAGATTCACACGCTGGAGTCAGGCTGCACTAGCATGGGATATATCCCACGATGTGCACTGAACTGCGGCGTGTCGTGCCCACCCTTGCCAATGATGATGCCACACTTCTCCGCGGGCACGGTGTAGGTGATTTGGTCCTGCATTCCTCCCGGAGGCCCTGGGCTCCAGTCCCCGAAGCCCCGCCCACGGCCGCCCCTCCCTCGTGGTCCCATGCCGCCAGGGGGTCCTTCGCGCTGTAAGCACACACAGACGGGCAAACGTGCCAATGAGTACACGTACGTATGGCAGAAAATGCAAAAAAAATCCCCCCCCTCCCCCCTTTACAGCCATGCAGACTGTTGGAACAAGTGCTGTGTGTGAGCATCTATTAAGGCCAACCTCAGGCACGACGAGAGGATAGTGTGGTCAACAACATTGTCCAGGCTGCCTTTGGTAATACTCATATATGGCTACGAACAGCTAGGGGAGGACCAAGTTCTGTTATCAATTGCCATTGAAATTAGTAGTAGCCGAGAATCAAGACCCGGGTTACCAGATTCATGGCGCAGTGCGCTGACCAATTTGTCAACGTTCTCAATAAACTTACACTCTCACACTCAGCCCATGAAAACACGCACACAAACTCAAGTGCGCATCCCAACCATGCGTTCACGCAAAACGCGCAAGGATATAAAGACACCAACCAGCTATGATCACATGCAGACAAACTATACATGCAGGTATGTACCACAAATATAAGCAGAGACCGAAACACACACAGACCACAAGTACAAATACAGTACATCAATTAAAAAATATTTATCGCTGCAAGTGTACCCTCTTAACTTTGCTCCACACTTATTTATTTAATTCGGGTCACCCTTGTCAAACTCAATTTGCTCAGCGCCTCCTGCCCCAAATGCGAAACAAAAGGTTACCACCAAGTGAACCAGAAGCATGTCCCACTGTAAAACCGGGTGGCTTGAATTTAAATGAGTTACGCACACTGGTTGCAGGGTTTGCCAAACTCCAGTTGTCGGAACCCACCAGGCTAAGTTTTTCCACATTCACCAATTTACCCCCATTTCAAATACACATCTAATTCAAATTAAGATTGAGATCAATGCGTGTGTGTACACATGTCCCACGTGACTCAAGACAGCATTAATTACTTGGGGCGTATTTAATAATCATGCGGGGCGTTTGCAGCAGTGTAATTACTTAATTTGTATTTGAAGGGCAGTAAATTGGTAAACCCTAGAAAGACACGAGCATGGTAGATTGTGAAGACTGGAGTTTGGGAAACGCTGCACTCATGCCTGGGCTGAGTTTTAGTTGTCGGCGTTGCATGCGTTCACTTATCCCAGGGACACTGAGTCGGAGAAACGTGTTTAACCGCTCTAAGCATCTAGTTAAATGGGGGGACACGTTCTATACGCTTGGGCATAACTTGGCCACGTGTGCATCAGATAAAATATGCATGGGCCGTTTATATTTGCATACAGCTCTAAACCGACGCGAGAAACTTTACACGATTAAGATGGAGGCCAAGATCAAGTGGTACCACATTCTCCAAATTTTAAGGTGCACTTTTTTCTCCTGGATTTTAAACAATAGTTTTTGGTGCATCTTATAATATTGGTAGACGTGTGTGCATGTGTTGTGACCAGATTTTCATAACTATGGACACATGGGTCACAAAAGTTAGCACGTAAGAGCCGAAAACACATTGGTGAGCTATGTACACAATATTCCCGCGTTAGTCATCAACTTGCTATTCGTGATTTTGGCTATCTGCGAATCAGAGGTATCGGGGAAGGACAACAAACTAGCATCAGTACTCAATGAGCTGGAGAATCGAAAATAACTTCCCCAACATCTGGTCTCTACACATTTAAAAGAGCACCACCCCCCCCCCCCCCCCCCAGTGGCAGCTCGCCCTGTGGGCACAAGGTGTCCCGGCACCCGGCCTGAAAACAGCCATTAATAGAGCAATTTGCGGGCAAATTTCAAATCTGACAAGTGTGGACAGGTGAGTGAATTGTGCATTGATGTGCATGCGCAAAAACGAGCGAGCATGTGCAGTGGCCGTACCCCTTCCATCTGCATGCCATTGATGAGCTCGATAATCATCATGGCGGCTCGCTGGCAGTTCTCCGGGACGCCCATGATCTGAGCCATGCGCTCTGGCCCACTGCCGTCATCTGCGGAGCCCGGGGGGGGGGGGGGGGGGGAAGACAGGCACGTTGACGAAACCACTCACTCTATAGATCCAACGGTGAAGGTTAAACCTTCATACAACGTGACATTTATAATGTCACGTTGGCGAAGGTTAAACCTTGGCCAAAGGAATGTATAATTACCATAGGAATGTACAATTCTTACCACTAGATCAGGATCGATAACAAGAGTCTGCAATGCCCAAAGTTTACTCTGAGTGGCACACCCGAATACATTTCTGTTACGGCTTTAAAAACGTTAAAAGCTGCAGGCGAATGCTTCTTATCTATCAATAAATCCTCATGCATGATCTTATACCCCATTTCAGCACAGATGAGGAATTGTTCATCACGTATCATCTGGCTGGACACGTCTGTTTTGGGCCTGGTTGTTGCCCATTCAAGCACTAGCCAGGCACGACCAGTCCCATAGCATGATAGCTGGGTCTGCCCCGTGACCTCCTGCTAACGGCCGTTCGACACTTCATGTGCCCTTAACGTGCACCTGGCCTGGTGCAAGTGCCATGGTGACGTCACCACCACTTAGTGGCAAATGACGGTTGCTGTTGTTGATGAGGCCCGAGGAGGATTAACTGCCGTGTACCCCATTTTCCCGCGTTTCTGTAAACCCAAGATTGAGCGCATTCCAGGTGAATTGGTCATCAGCCACAACACAAATGTGCCACACAAAGAGACTCACACCACCTACATTAAAGCAAACTGTCTAGCATAGATTCCACCAACACATCCCAATGACAAAGATCCCCGTAATCGCTTTGACAGACTGGTTGTGGCAAGCTCCGTTAGTTAGCACCTAATAAGGCCGGCACAGCACACGAGCAGGCTGGGTGACTGGTGTTTACACATCACACCAGGTAATCATGCAAGGGGCTGCGAGGACCTACAGGTGACCCAGGACGATTTCAAATATTCGTCACCGTTATTGGTCACGAGAGTGAATCAAACCTGTGTCGCCGGGTTCGTAACGCAGTGCACCAACAAATGGATGAACACTCCCCACAACAGGGCACCAGGGGGAGGTACTTACCAGGCTGAAACTGTATGCGGACTCCAGCCTCGTTCTGCAGCTTCTTGATCATGTCCCCACTTCGGCCGATAACCACGCCCACCGCAAATCGAGGCACAGCGATCTGCACGCACGCACGCACAAAGCCACAGACCAAGTCTTCCTGTTAAAGCCTTGAGATAGCTGGGGCAGCATATTGTGTCAGCTAGAAACTGGATAACAGAGTAAAGGACTGTACAAAAGTACCGAGCCTGGATTTGACTATGGGGGTGGGAGGCAGAGTTAGCAGTTGGATGGCCAGGGATAATTAGACTTTGCAGCCAGCAAAGGAGGATGAGCGACCTCCCACCAAACCAAGATTGAAGGAACGGATAGCAATGCCCTATGGAAAGCTCCTGAATAAGAGTGGCAAGCAATCTTAATAGTTCGTCCACAATGATATCGCAAACCAGCGCAAGCATCTCAAGTGCTGAGAAGACATGGCTGAATTTACAAGTACTGATGAGAACCATATGGAAAAAAACCCAGATTTCTCAAGTACAATGAGATCAGCCTCTTACTCCTTGCCCATCTACGCAAGATGAAGGAACGAAGTTTGGCTCACCTTGACAGACTCGCGGCCTCCCGTCCGGCCTGCAAACTCCCCGAACCTCTCGCGGTGGTCCTCCTTCCTGAGGAACTCGATGACCATCTCCTTGGCTTGCTGCAGAGACACGTACGCACGCACACCCTCAAGTACATGTGCACAAAAGGGCTCAAGGAACGCACCAACGCAATGTGACGTCGCCGATGGAAGCGAGACAACACGGCAGCAGTGCCCCACCGGGCGATGCGGTGGGCAGGCGAGCGAACCAGCCCCCCTCCCCGCCCCCCCCCCCTTAAGACTTACACGGCTCGAGCCCATACACGTACGTGGAGCCCTTCTCTATCAATCCACGCACGCCTCCCCACACCGTGCGGATCAGGAGGTTGATATGATCGTACTTCGCTATTTGATCGTACTACGCCACACTGGTCATCGCGAGTTGGTGTCGGGGAATAGACGTTGGTAGGGGCGGTGCATTTGAGAACAGTAAAACAATGCATTTCGCTGCTGCACTGCTTCTCTGCTGCCCACAAGATAGTCACACAGCCTATAACAAATGTTGTGTAGAATGGTTGCGAAGCCAAGCACAATCTAGGCTCGACCTTGCTAGGATTTGTAGATCCTAAGAGGTTGTGGCTGCATTACGGGCAATTTGGTCATAGACCAGGCTGTATGGGGGTCCATCGAATGAGTACCACTTCGTGGGACGTCAAGTGGTTAACCCCTATGGAGGGAATTCTTCCTGACAAATGGATAAGGGGCAGTGGCCACTTGTGCTTCAAGATGCATGTTTAGCACGATTGGCTAAATTGCAGCTAGAAGTAGCAATGGCATATACGAAACTAAGGTTATCGATTAAATCTCACCTGAAGAAACAGCCGTTTAGAATTAACAGGTTAAAAATTAACTCATTAAAAAGTGGGTGGGACAAAATTACAAGCAAGCAGAATTCATCTTAGCCCGAACAGTTTTTTTTGCTTTAACCAATTACCGAGCTTTTGGGAGGCAGCCTGCCCTGCTGCAGTGGCGGCACACCGACCTGGACTTTGTAAGGGTCGCCGGTGATGCGGAGAGGTTTATCCACGCCCGAGTTCTGCCGGTTGTCCTGGATCATGACCATCTTGACACCAGCACGGTCCTGATACATACAAGTGGGTGCGCGCGTGCACACACACAATCACGTATTAGGCATTTATTACTCCGCTTGTTTACCCAAGGGAAGTCTTAATACCACTGGGCAAAAGGAAAAGGTATCTGATGTAGTCTTCACGAACCGTTAGGGCAAGCCATTGACAAGGTCTATGATGTTGCCGGACCCATTACATGCTGGGAAACGACGCCTAAGAATGACCAGACCCATCAGCCCAGTTGGATAGATTAATCCAATGAGAAATCAATTTCGTGAGCCCAGCAAAGGCGTGCGTAGAGTTTGTGGATACACGGCGTGCAGCGGCGTGGCACGTTTGCGGGGTACACACGTACCTGCAGTTGCCGGATGGTCTCGCCTCCCTTGCCGATGACCAGCCCCACCTTGTCGGCAGGGACAATGATCTCGACCATTCCATCAGCGCCGTTCTCCGAGGGGCCCCCGTTCCTGCACCGCTCGATAATCTGGTCGATGAGACTCTTGGCATGCCTGCCACACGAACACGAAGCCAAGCAAATAAATCACGGTTACCACATGCGAATTATGCAGTTCTTTCCAACATACTTTAAATTTTACCATGTAAAGGCCACTGAACTATATAGCACTATTCACAAGTGACCTGGCCACAAATGATAGCCCAATGAAGTGTCTTCTCAAGTGGAAAAACCGGACGACCAAGAGAAAAATACACGTGACCACACGACGAGTGACATGTGACGTCGATACATAATGTTGCACATAATAACGTCACTGGCAAGGACAGCGTGCGCACAGAAGAGGTTTTTTATTGCCAAGTTTTGGGTAACCCTTTCACAAAGTTGCCTGGCTACATACAGGGTTAGTCCCCAACAAAAATAGAACTGTAATTTAAAATGTAAATACCCACAATAGTTATATATTTAATAGGACTTCCGGGTCATCTCCCAACTTGACGTGCGATTCTGTTCCGATGGAGCCACGCGACCAATAGACGTCAGTCAAGGGGGGGACAAAGCAGATGAGGATCGCTGCGCTACAGTGCATGCAGCGCGCGGTGAGTGCGTCACTCACTGGATGGCCTCGGGCGGTCCCATGAGCATGCACGTACGTTCCATGAGGCCAGTGGCATCCACAACTGCATCTCACACGCGTAAACGCGGCCAGACCGAAACGGGTTACACACAACACTAGCAGGGGAATGAGCATCAAACAACGCAGAAACAAAACAAGAACCACCGCTAACACTGCCCGAATAGGAAATACAGGAGGCTGATACTTCAGGTGACAACCATTCGCAGCAGAGAGCCTTGGCACAAAAAGTCAACCCATGGATATAAGTTTCTGTTTCCAAGGATGGCTTACAGCGGTGGCCAAAGGCTCTTATCTGAAAAATGGCCACCGATCAAAATGCGAGTATTACTTTACATATTTTCCTGTTACAAGGCAGTGTTCATGATGCAGAAGGTAATATTTGTTTTGCTTGCGATTGTTCTCCACCTGTAACGCAGACCCTTAACATGTATTTGTCAGCCTGGGACATTTCTCTAACAATTCTCAATTTGGTTGCAAATGTTTGGCTCTGGACCATTGAGGTACTTATTATGAGCTTAAAGAATCCAAAATATGCCTTTAGTTAGGGAATTACAACAGGCCCATGGTGACCCACTTGCTCAAGCACATTGGTTGTGATAGTTTGGAAAAATCTGTTATCGAAATCCAGCCAGGTGGCACTTTTGTTGAGTGCACCCAACTCACAAATGGACGAATGAGCGCTCAAAAAAAGTTGGGATTTTTGGGTTAGATTGCGTAAATGTGTCGTTAAACCACCACCACCTGATACAGCAAATTCGTGAAGCTTGTCACGTGACCAAAACATGCCAATTAGCTATTACTTCAGCACATCGGTGTGATGGCGAGTAAACCCACAACCAGTTTCATTTGAGCAGTTGGGGATTGACTCATCAACCCCATTATCATCATCGCCAATTGTGAATTAAACTAAATCAGTACAACTACGGGCAACCCGCCGTGATGGTCCCATGGGACCCGAAAACAAGGTGATATTTTCACCAATGGCTCAACGCCATCAATGGAGTTCTATCTATGTAGCCAACCGCGCTAATCGGTGGTGTTGAGTTAAGCGAGTGCTGCCACATGCCTTGTACGAGCAGGAGGCAGCACACTTCAAACGTTATTTTCATTATTCTTGTGCATTATTATTGTGCACAGCCCAGCAAGGGAGAGCATTGTGTGCATTATTGTATACCTGGTGAGATCTGGATTTTGCAGCCGGTTTCAGTCTGAAGCCTTGAAACTTGCTCGCCGCCCCTGCCAATGACTGTGGACAATGCAATGTGGAGAAAAACATCACTTTAGAACGTGGGGAGGAGGAATAAGAGAGAAAAATAATCTTAACAAATCCCCAATCTGTGTCAATCTGTGCTTGCAGCTCCCAACAAAAAGATACCAGTGTTCCTATAAATGACCGACCTTGACTTGGGCCCATGTCTCGGCCACTTATACAAGTAGTTTAATGATCAAAATGTTGAACATATCAGCTGCCGCTAGTTTATATCATCACATACAAAAGCCTTTATGTTACAGATTCAATGCAATTACATCCCATGTTATCTGGCTGTAAAGGTGGTGTATTTATACAAAATACGATGTAAAATATATGAAGGTGGAAATAATCAAAACATAATAAAAAAACTTGTATCACCAAATTCTTAAAGATATTTTTTCAAGAGGGTCCTTTGAGTTAGAAAATTCCAGAAAAAACCCACCACAATCCAAGGGGTTAACAGTCACTGTGCCTTGCACACAAATAGGGTTCAAGAATCCACTTCTATACTATCATCTGCTTGTTTCACGGCCCAAGGCACAACACCTAGCACTTTTAGGGAGTCACACATACATGTCCAGTAAAACCTTGGATTGCGAGCATAATTCGTTCCGGAAACGTGTTAGTAATTCAAAGTACTCGTATATCAAAGCACTCGTATATCAGCTGTGATCACGTGACACTCGGCAGACAAAGCGTATACATACTACTCGTATTGCAAGACCTCGCTCGTTTATCAAATTTATTATTTACTTAAAAATTTTGCTCGTCTTGCAAAACACTCGCAGACCAAGTTACTCGCAATCCAAGGTTTTACTTAACTAATATGGACGAACCCTGCTTAGTTTGAGATCTAAGGGATCTGACAGAGAAAGATCTGGTTATAAGCACAATCACCCCAGTTACTCTTTGAAAAAAATAACTATCCTTGCCTCTCTAAAGTTCTCACCTGGTTAAATAACACACACTTTAAAATGTACATTTGCAGGATTCGAACCCGGGTAATGTGCTTTCACTTCAAAAGCAGCTTCACAATGCCCCTAAACCAGATGTGAGAAATCAGTGGTTGGCTGGCCTGTGGATAGACTGGTCTCCAACACAGGAACCATGTTTCACACAACTTGAACAAACACAAGATCCCAGGTCCGATTTAACACGGTGCATAAAATTCGTGTGATCTGATCCCATCTGTGAAGGACAAGATTCCTGACATGCAATATCCCGGCGTCTCCAAACCAAGCTGCATCTGCAGCAGCAGTTACATGGGGGAAAATAAACGACATGTCTCGGACCATGTTCGTGAACATAAGGCAGATCTGTAACACGGCAGGACCAATACTTCTGCCGTGGCTGATCATTACTTTAATGCGGCTGGCTCACATGAAATTGATTTCTCTAAGACGATAGTACTTTGCAAGCCGACTGGCTATCAACAAAGATTCGTTCACGAAGCCATCCATATATAGAGACACAAGACACAAATTCAACCCGGACAATGGTTTGAAATTAAGCAATCATTGGAAAGATGTCATCAACCAATTTGGGTCATGACTTGATTTGTGTTTTCTTGTCAGCCTCTACCGCCAGCAGTGTGGATGGGCGTAGTGAGGTGCAATGCCCCCCCCCCATCTCTATCCCCCCCTCTCTCCCGATCTCTACCCCCCCTCTCTCTCCCCCTATCTCTACCCTCTTCCTCCCCCCATTGTCTAACACACTTGGACTGCGCCCTCACCTTTCAGCTCCACCTCTACCCCCCCTCTATCTCCCAGTCTCTGCCCCCTCCCTCCCCCCATCGTCTAACGCACTACTTGTAATGTGAATGGGTGGTAACAACAACCGTGCGGAGCGTATGGGGGCCTCGAACGTGTGTTGTGTGTCACTTCGTCACTTACTGAATCCAACCATCTTATCGGGGATTTTCATTTCCTCTGTTTGGGCCCTGTCAACGAAGCACAACAAACAGGCAGAGGTATTAGAATCACGCACGTGATTTGCTTTTCTGTTTCACCACAAAGAATTTGGCAACAGCAATATGCACATGTACAGGTACAAAGCTTATGTCAATGTACTGCTGGATAAGGGTCGCCCCATACTGTGCGGGTCATGAGGTCAGTACAGAAAAAACACATTATTGTACTCTACTTCAATGCTCCCACATCTACGCTCCCCACCTTCACCGACACGTATTGACCAGCTAGAAGCAGGTGGCAGTAACCAGCAACACAACACCGCAGCCACCTCTAGTCCTGATCTTTACACACCACACCAGGTTACTTAATTAAGTTTGTCCACCTAGGGGAGGTTCAGGAACCAGTTTAGGTACTCACCACTAATAGTAGCCATGGCCAGGAATCTAAGTCAGATCGCCGGGTTCGCAGTGTAGTTTCACTCACCAATACACTATTGCACACACGCATACACACGCACACACCTGGGGTTGAGACCACCTCCGCCTCCACCTCCACCGTGATGGGAGGGCGGCCAGTGAGGGTCCCCGTCCGGGGAGTCGAACCGGGGCGGTGGTGACCATCCCATCTCGGGGGCGTCTCCACCTCTGCCGCTGCAACGAGAGGCTGACATTAGTCGAGGCTCACAAAGGCGCGGCGACGGGTGGGTATGCCAAAGGCCTACGAGGTCTGGGCTTCTTCACATGGAAGACGAAAGAAAAATTAAGTGACATTGAAGCAGTTTTTATTTTGGAAACGAAATTAGTGACGAAAATATTAAATTGACAACGTGTGCGTTGTTTTATTCAACGGTGACCATGAGTGGACAGAGATCATCGAGCATGATGAGAAATACAGCTACCCATAAAAAAAAATTCTGCCCGGAGTTTGAAGAAATTAAATTCGTGTGTCTTAATGACGACAAAGACGAAAATAATTTAGTCGGACCAATAACAGTAATTGGTTATACATGCGTAGCCTTTACCGATTGGATGACTTGGGAAAATTTGTGGTGGTGGGGGGTGAAGGGGTAAATTGGGCGCCTCTCGCATCATCATTTGAATAACTGCGAATGCACTTAACGTGCGACTGTTTTCATCGACGAGACTATGAATAAATAAATGCCCACCAAATTAACAATGCATCACGATCCATTGTGCTCACTGTTGGGTCAGACAAGAGCTGCACAATTCCCACAGCAGCTGCCCTGGAAGTTTTACAGAGTTAGCAAAGCACGCCCGCTGTGCTACCAACATCCTTTGTAATGACGAGTAAATTACTTTTGCGTGGGGGTTACAGCACAAATGCATTATTTTGAAATTAATAAATCAAGCAAAGTTGTAAAATAACCAAGTGGAGTAGAGAACCAATTGATTTTGCTGCCCTGCCCTCTCCTGGTCACATTATCTACAACACCTGTTCTTGAACATGGTAACCCATCCAAGCACTATACATGACCAAACCTGCTTAGCTTCCGAGGTCTCACGAGATAGGGTGTCACGAGATAGGGTGTGTATTCCGGGTGATTTGGTCATCAATACAAGTCCTGATCCACGGCAAAAGAACCGGTCCAAATTTTCTTCTGAAAAAACTAAACTCGATTCACCACTCAATTCCGAGCTCTTGGCCACAGGACAGAGCGCTGCCATTACAGTTTTAAAATCCCCCCCCCCCCCCTCCGTGCGCCAGGCTACACAGGTTAACACGGAGGCAGCTACCAGCTTTGCATTGTAACATTGTGGGTATTTCAGCTTCCATATCGTAAGGGTTATAGGCCTGCCATGCGGCGGCGACATCACTAGGGGGCACTATGGCAGTGAATCTCCTGCATGTCGACACGGCCATGATTTCAAAAGGATTTTTTTCTGCTTTTTCACGACGCTTCCAAGTCGTGGACTGCCCATGAAGTGCAAATGGAAATGGACGGCTGATTGTGCTGTTGGATGCGCGAGTTCCACACACCTCTGCTGCTGTTGTATCGCTGCCAACTGAGCACCAATTGCTGACGAGAGAGAAAAAACACAACACAATCCACATGGTGGCATTAATTCACCAGCATCACACATCACAATTTACTTAGACATGCCAACTCAATGCTTAGGTGGCACCTTTACTTACATCTACACATTCCCACATTCTAGGCAAGACCATGTTCAATACCTGGTTGACGAACACTTAAATCTCGATTTTCACTATAGATAGAAATTAAGACAAGCAATGTGTTTAGGGTTGGAATGAATGTAACACTGTGGTTAGATTTGTGGGTTGACTTATAAGCGGTGATACATGGGTGTTGACTGCTCTCTGATACCGAGCATGTGAACTGTATGTAACTTGTATACGTAATAAAAAATTCGAACATATGCTCATGACATTCACAACATTGCTAAATATACGTGCAGTGCTCATGAGAACTTTGATATAAAATGTATGGTTTAGCCTTCTTCTTAGATCTTGACTTAACCCGCCAGGACAAGAGTGTCTTCATTCAAAATGCATCATATTGGAAGGACAATGGAGCACCAGAATGAGAAACTTGTGTATGTTCAGATACAGATTGGGTGTCAATATAATGAATTATGCAAAATACTCCATTGCAGTGCATAATGAGTTTACACAGGCATATGAACCTTATAGCGGCACCCCGGGCTCTCGCATAATGTCCGTGGAGCAGTCATTTTTAGTTTGTCGAAGGTCGGCGATGCGGCAATCGACTCATTTCGACGAGCTGTACACGATGCACCGCTACGGTGCATACGAGCGTTAAGGGTTTCAGCGCAATCGTCCCGCTGCGTTTCGACATCACGGAGTAGCACCCGATTTCGGATTGATTGGTACCCCAGTCTCGGAGGTAAGTACACCCCTGGAAAAAAGTGTCCCAGAAATGAAAATATTTAATTGCCTCGGCCATTTTGTATTATTTGGTACCCCGGGGTACCGCCATAAGGATCATATAATGTTTTTGCCAAGAGGATCCCCATTCAATCTTGATTTGAAGCTTTCGTGACTGCAGGAATCCATACTCTTTGGTTCTGATTGACAGGATGCTTGCGCTGCACCCGAAACATTGTGATTTATTTTATTTTATACCTGCGTGACTTAAGCCGAAAGAACCAAAGAGTAATGATCCCCATTGCTCAGAGGGAAAGCTCTCAGCAATAACATATTCAACCAGCAGTATGTTAAAAAAAAGCTGATGACCAAAGGCATAACCAGTCCAGGGTTCGTTAAAATAAATGTGGTTGGTTAAAGTGTAGGTGGTCAAAACAAAAAAAGTATATTATTTTCATGGTAGATACACAAAAGAAAATGTATTTAATTCCTATAGAGGAGTCACAGGTGTAGGCATAAATACGATGGATGGCAGCAACCTTGCGGAACCAAGTATAGCCCCGAATACGACGTCGGATTATAAACAACGTTACCACAAGAGGGTGCTTGAGACGCGTGGACAGACGAGCACCAGTGTGCCGCAACAAACTATTAATTCCTCCATCTATAGCATCCCTCAAGAAAATAAGAGGCCTTGTTTCCTTTGAGTATAATAAAGACTGCAATACCAACAGTTGTCGAATGAGAGCCGAGCCAAGTGATAACATGCAGTTAAAGTATTCCCCTCATGATTCACGAACTTCCTATCCGCAATTTTGGCTGTCCGCGAATCGCATCTGGAACACTGCACGGACTGCATCGAGAGAAAGTGATGAGAAAGTGACGAGAGCAAAAACTTCAAAGCTTTAGAAGCATTTGCAGGCGTTCTCGAGAACAATATTTGTTGGCCAACATCATTATCCACGAAATTTGCGATTTACGAACAGCTCCGGAACATATCCCTCGCGAATGAGGGAAAACTATACGGCAAACGTGCCCAAAATTATTATTACGCACTACCCCAGCTGAATTTGGGTAATAAAATCCCACGCAAATCCACATTTTGGTATAAATGCAGCTTGCTTACACACTGCAGGCATAAATATGCAAGTGTCAAGAGTTCAAACGCATGTCACCCTATTAAATACCACTTTATAGAGTTCATCGGTGTACACACACACAGTACTGTATAAACATATTTCTCTTAAAAAAATGATTTACCATAAGCACAAGCGGCGATTAAGATCTACGAAACGTCGCTAAATGAGCAAATAACACATTTAACGAAATGTGTAAGCATTTACATAAAATGGCACAGCAGCAACAATATATAATAGCAGGTCAGTGCTAGTGAGTCCTTTTAACAAACTCAAAGATGAATAAATGAAATATCCAGCTGCTGCCAACGTGCTGCTTTGAATCAGACAAGTTTAGACGGGCACAAAGATGGTTGAAATTGACTGACAAAACATTGAAGTTCAGCATTAAAACGTAATTAGGTCAGCTACCTCTATCAAGGCCATTTATTCTGCGGTTAAAATTACTGTAAGTGTAGCGACGCGGCTTGGCTCACAGCAGCTTAATGAGTTTGTTTGGGTCTAAAAATAAGCGCGTAAAGCCCTGGGTATTAACCATATATAGTGCATCCAACAAGGGATTGGACATTTTAACATGGACGGGGACAGAACATTCACCGTCACCGTGAGACCAGGCACGGAACACGTGTCGTAACTTCGAGGCGCGGGTGTACACGCAGAAGTTCTCGCACAGTGCGCGACGCAAACGGTACAACGAAACAGCGAGGGAGATGTACCGAATAAAAAAAAAAGTAAAAATGTTTCCCTGCTCAAATGAGCGTGAAACGATGCCAATTTCCATATGCCCCACCGTGCTAGTAATGAAAATCCTGATTCACATCGTAGGGCCTAGTAACTTCACAGGAAAAAACTAAATAAAACTCATTTACGTGCAAGGGGGTGATGATGGGCTGGGCCAACCAGCCACATCTTTGCTCCCTTCCGACTGGGCGGCACAGTGGGAACGCCCGTGCACAATGCGTAGGAGACGCGTTCCGACATGAGTTGGGAGCGCTGAAGGCTATTGACAGAGGACTTTGTAAAAACGTGTTTGTCAAGATGAACGCAAAATAACATTTCGCAATATGAGACACTGACCCAGAAGTGTAATGGCCAGAAACCCAAGAAGCTAGGTCATATATAGAAAAGCAGGCAAGGAAACTTGCCTCAGAATACACAACATCCCATACACAACCGTCAACAGTCACTGAAATGTTTATCAAGCGGTAAGCTTGTACATTTTGTATTAGCAGAGGGGAACAACAGCAACATGGAACGTTACTCAAGAAGAAAACACATAATTGGTGACATTTCTTGCAATGGCCATCCTGCACAGCACAGAGGTGCCAGAGAGGTCGTCATGTGCTGTGAAGGGCCACTGCCAAACACTGTCACCTGTGACTGCTCATTCCTCTTAAGCCACTGTTCTTGACGAATGTGTTGTTTATTATTTGTTGCTATTTGTGCACCACTGACAGCGCAAAATCAACAAAACAATTTTCCTATTTAATTGGGTCTCTTCAATTTGAAGCCTAGCAAGAATTCGACTCTTCCATGACAAAGGAATACCTTTAGAATCCACACTACAGAGGATGCGTGGCAGCATTAATCAGGGTCTTGGTGGAACGATACTCCCCATGTGGCACAAGTGTGTAATGGTATCAGTGTTGCTGATGCTATTCTTGCAAAACGTTTGCATCACTTCCAAAGTAAACCTGTCGCTCAAGTAACTCACGGCAACGCAAGATATTTCACTAAAATTGCATTGGTGAAATGATCAAAAGAATAAGTAGAAACATTACCGATTAAATATTTGCTGATGGCAGTCAATACAACCAATACGAATTAATTACAGTAAACTGAAGAAAAAAAACCCAAGGGTACAAAAGTTGGGCTCAAGAAAAATACGAGAAAAAGAAATTTCACGTCCTTACGAGACTAGATCAGAAACATGGATACTGACAAAGAAAAAGGCACAGAAGCTGAAAAATGCACAAAGGAACATAGGAGAGATTCATGCTTGGAATTACGATGAGACACGAAAAAAAGGGGAACAAATGGATGTGAGAAAAACTCATTTACAGGCACTGCTGTTGACTTATAAGAAAGTATGTAGGCTTGAGGCAGGATACATCTTAAGAAGGGTGGCCCGGTGGTGCAGAAATGCAGCCGGTGGAGAAGAACACTACTGAAACGACGTCCACCAGAGATGGAGCAATAAAATCAGCTGGTGTGCAGGAGCTATATGTATTGTTGCTTCTTATGATCGGCGAAGTATGGCAAAAGCTTGGGTAGTAAGCTATTCATCTAGCAGTCGGCAAATCGAGGCTGATGATGATTTATTGTAGGATGTAACATACGTAGTGATAAACTACATTCGGAACACCGGTGGCACAACTAAATCCCTGGCATACGTAAAGATGCAACCCGAAGGCCAAACGGTGCTCATTTCATGGACAGACATCAAGGAGGTGGATGCGAGGACTGTCCGACACAAGCCTGAAGCTTTGTTCGAGATGGAGGGGAAAAAAATACTTCAAAGTTATCCTAAGGAGCGTTCAGACTCTACAGGCATTGGGCTTTGATGTATTTTTTTGCCATTAAAGCAGCGAATGTGGGACAGCCCAGGACACAACAACACAGATACGCATCTGCACAGAAATGTTTGCTTCAGGGTTGCATTTTCCTTTAGAAAGGGTGCGCACTTGACAATAGCCTATGCTAATCTCTCTAATGATGAGTGCATATCAAGCGATACAATGGTTTTCAAACACAGATAAATAGTATTTCATAGTTGCCCTGTATGCAGAACCTCTGCCAAGAGTTTGGATTTATAAACAGTGGTGGAGCAGTGGTTCATGCAATCTATATATATAAAATCGTTCATGTCTGTCTGTGTGTGTATTTCGGCCCATACGCACTTTCATTGGACGGCGGTTGCCCCTGGCAACGGCTAGCCACGCCTTCGCCGCTTTCATTGGACCTGGCAACGGCTAGTGACGCCTTCGCCAAGGGCTGCAGTTTCATTGGACGGCGGTTGCTTCAGCCAACGGCT